TTGCCTATCCGTCAGCGCAGAGAGCTAAGGGCGCTCACAACTTTATTTACTCTTCTCAACTCTCCCTCTTCCCCTGACTATCTATCTTCATATTTCCAGTACGTGTGCGACAACCATACTAGAAGTCTGCGCTCTTCGCACAATCGTCTTTTGCATGTCCCTGCCCACCGCACTAACTATACTCATTCTTCTTTCTTCATACAAGCCATTTCCTTGTGGAATAAGCTTCCCTCGGATATCAGAGCTGCAACCAGCCGGTTGTGTTTCAAGCGTAGGGTGCGTGAGTACATAGGCAAGATGATGGTAGTTTCCCCACTTAGATTATAAATTGTCCTCATTATATATATATATATATATATATATATATTTTTATATTATATTATTTATTTATATTATGTGTATTAGTGTTTATATATGTATGTTAGGGTGTCCCAGCGTATAAGGGTGAAAATTTTTTTTTCGAATTTAATCATGCATACCCTTTATATTTTTTCTAAATGACCCTAATAACCAAAATATAAAATATCATTGGGATCAGATAACGATAACCCGTGCCGACTTGATGTCAAACTTTTAACAAATTTTTTGTATGAAAAATACCGAGGACATTTTAGAATGTCACTTTTTTCAATAAAAAAGTATTATTTTTACACAGTCGTATATTTAGTTTAAACTGATTTATTATATAAAAGTGTTATTTACAAAATTTTATGTTCAAAGTTTTTTTTTATAGTCTGGATATAATACTGTGTTCCTGTTCGCCACGTAGTGAAAATTGTTTTTGTTCCTCTTCAACAGTAATCTTTCCATGGAAGACTTGCGTTAACTTAACCGCTCTCTCTGCAGTATCATTAACAGCTCTTAGTGCCATCATCTGTTTTTAGATTGCACAAACGCAGCATTATTAGGCCAGCATTAGTAGGACACTTTTTGAGAAAACTGTCATCAATTTTCTGGTCTACGTCGTAGTCAAACAGATCACAAAATACCATAAATGCTGACAGAAAACCAATTGTTTCGTAAGCTTTCATGGCATCATATTCAAGAAGCACGTAATATCCTGGTAAGGTGAGAAGGAGAGCTATGTAATTAATTAATTAATGGAGAATAAAATTAAGAGCTATAAATTTAGGATTTCCAACAAAGCCTAAGCTGCACTGTTAGGTGTCAACTTGTTCACTGTCTTATGCTACGTCAAAACTTGGATGCAATGTATATTAGCAGTTAAAGCACCTTACCAGGATATGCGCTTCTTGAATATCTGGGCTGTTGGTCACTTGTAGATTTGCTAATGGGAAATTCGTAAATGTTGAGTCCAATGGGTGGGCAAACGTTGACGTTTTCGATCCGTTATTTTTAGGAAGTTCGCTTTTTCGTCCTTGTCGGTTAACTTTTTTCCAGCTAAGTGACCAGGTCTACCTGGCTCTCTTTAGACCTGCAAGAAGCTCTTAACTTATCTCTAAATGAAGCGCATCGATGTGTGCAATATCGAACAAATTGTTCAAGATTGTAACAAACTCTTGTATACACTTTTCGAATATGTCTTGAGTTTTGTCACATTCTTTGTAGATCTTGCCAAACCTGGTATAAAATTAGGTAAATACTGAGTCGGAATACGTGTCTTTTCCCAAAAAAATAATGCACTCACGAATATTACGATTTGCGCTTTCATTTACACTTTAATTCAGTTCTCGAATATTATACCACAAAACTGCCAATACTTGCCCTTTAGAGGTAAGTTTTGAACTGGTGACTTTAAGTTTTACATCCTCAATAAAAAAATGCCCCTTTTTGGATCTGCGTAATTTCTCTCACATTTTGAACAAACGATAATAATGCGTTAACTAATAAAACAAACAAGTAATAACAAGCAGTACGAAATGTTAACTCTGACGCGCCATAGTATGCAAGTACTGATATGTATCGACGGTAGTCGGCACGGGTTACTGTGGTTCTAGGTACATGAAATTTTATTTACATGTGTTTTAGCACCATTCGCATATAATTAGAGGGTATGCGTTAAAATAAAACGACTTTGATTTTTTTGGGACACCCTAATGTATGTATTTTATATATGTATATATTATTTTTATGTATGTAACTTAGAATTGATTTACACCTCCACCTCACGTAACTTCCTAAATTGCTGTATATCACCTACCACACATCTCTGCACTACCAAAAGGTTGACTGGCAGAAAATGCTTCTAGCATTAAGTCCTCCGATATGCAATTGTATATAAAGAATAAATAAATAAATAAATAAATAAAGGTCAATGGAATCATAGCGCTATTTAATATGTATAGTTATAATAAATCTGTAGAGAGGTCAATTCTGTACATTAAATATATTTTTATCAAGCCCTGATAGTTAGTATAAAGAAAAAAAAAGTATAAAATAAATAATAAATATAAAAAAATAGTAAAAAGTAGATTACTGATAGATACAAAAATTTTTGTCTGTCTATCTGAATGTTCCTTATACATAACCTGCCCAGTAATGTGAAGAATAATCAAGTTTCGTTAAAATCTGTCGAGTAGTTTTTGTTTCTATTGATATGAGCAGAGGAGTGTTGCGAGGAAATGTTGTGAAAACGGGAGAAGTTACTCCATTTTTTTAGCTTCCATCGCGTGTGCAGTCTCAACGGTTTAAGTTACATAGAAATAATGTATCACGGGAATGTTCTACAAAATAACTTACAACAGTATATGTTTATCTTTTATGGTTGACTCACAATATCACGTGTAACTCCTGATAGCTTAGTAGTTCGGAGCATTCGGATTATATTTGTTTACTCTTTCGTTTACAATACTCTTTTATTATCCCTAATTAAAAAAGTTTACATTATGATCGAGGGACGGTCTTCAGCAACCGTTAGCGCGGGACAGCAGGTCAGGATAACTCGAAACCCGACCAGAACCAGACCCGAGTGTACGGCGCGTAGCGTTCCGCGCGCGCCTCAAAGAGCCAATAGACCACCACAAACACGGCCCTATAGGGCTGATGTTCAGCCAGGGTTGCGGGTCAAGCGCAATGAGGCACCGCAGCATCGGCCTAGAGCAGGAGAAGGAATTTTTAGTCAGTAAGAGTATGACACTCCCTCGCGCCCAACCCTGGGCCAGAGAAGTCATTTGATGATTTTCCGCTCACAAAACAAAAAAAACATCGGCTATCGAGGACGAGACCCAGGTATTTCATCGCCGACTTGACGCCGATTTGGTACCCATCAAGAGGTGGCGCGTTCCGACGACCCTAAAATCACATGACCTCGGACTTGTGGAGCGCCACCTCGAGCCCCAACCTTGAACTAAGATAAGATCCTTGCAACGACTTTCGCAACAACTTGTGATATCAGGTCGGCCGCCGCCTGATGCGACCTCCCGTTCGCCAGCACCAGCATGTCGCCAGCGTAACGTACCCGATGTTCCATAGGAGTAGTTTCAAGACCGATCCATGTGAAACACTACGCGACATCTCCAGCCGTTTCCACACGCCCCGGTGACCGGGGTGGATGGCGAGGATAATTAAACACTGAGATACTAATTTAGCGCGTATAATATAGGAACACAAAATGATTCGTGCAAATTAAAAAAAAAATGTTTATGGTATAAGTTGGCAAACGAGCAGACGGATTATCTGATGGTAAGCAATCGGCGCCGCCCATGGACAAGAGTTGCCAACCTTTTGAGGATAGGGGTTGCGGTTATAAGGATCGGGAAGGGATAGGGGAAGGGGCGGGATTGGGCCTCCGATAACCTCACTTACACAGCGAAACACAACGCTGTGGTTATTTCACGCCGGTATTCTGCGAGGCCGTGGTATCACTCCGGTCGAGCCGACCCATTCGTGCCTAAGCTTGGCTCTCCCACACTTAACTACGACGACATCTATACTGTTGCCGGTAACGAAACCGTAGCGCGGTCTATCTCGATTCCAATGCCATCTATCGACCCATCGTACAACTTTAACGTTTTATATTCTATACTAGCTTTTGCCCGCGACTTCGTCCGCGTTTTATTTGTTTTTCGTAAAAAAGTATATGTGCTTCCTCAGCGTTCAGTCGATGTGATATTAAAGGCAGATTAACTTTCGTATTTTAGTTGGGAACTATAATATTTCAATGCACAATAATCTATACTGATAATAATATTATAAAGAGGTAAAATTTGTAAGTTTGTATGTAGGGGGTAATCTTTGGAAACGCTGGTCGGATTGCCAAAATTATTTCACCAATAGATAGCTACAATGTTCCTGAGTGCTATAGGCTAGATATACATATATGTATAAAACGTCACCTTAAGATCAATTGGAGTCGAGCAGCGGGTGAAAATTTTCTTATTTTTTTTTTGTTTTGAGAGGGTAAAATAATCAAATGACTTCTCAGGGAGTCTCAGACTCTTACTGATTAAAAGCCCCCGTTCCTTCTCCTGCTCTGGGCCAAGGTCGGGTGCCTCATTGCGCTTGCCCCGCAACACCGACTGAACATCAGCCCTGTAGGGCCCTGTCTGTGATGGTCCACGGTGGCCGGAGATCGTTTTTCGATCCTCGACGGCCAGCAACGCACTTGTGACTGCTTTGGTGTTACGGGTGTCCATTAGTAGCGACTTCTTACTATCGAGTGATCCGAAAGATTGCCTATACCACTCGGGTCTCGAGGACAACTTTTAACTGGGAACACAAAATCTCGCAAATAAATCCGCTCCTTAGTGGTTCTAACTACTGGAGACGAACCGATTCATGCGTGTGGATAAATGGCAGTTCTGACTACCTAATCAATAATCCTCTATTTTTCTAACAAACGACTAGAACTTGAAACTATTTTCAAAGTTTTATTAACAAGACAATACTTGACGATAATATTATCAAGTATTAGAATAATATTTATGCTTAAACATAACTTATATAGGTAAAATATCCGTGAACAATCGTCTCTCTAATGAAAATACCGCGGAATTGATTATTTTTTGCGTAACACACTTGAAACTTAGTCTTTAATCGAAATGCACGCTGGTTTAACGCTGGTTGCAATAACTGTGAGTGATAAAACCTATTTATTTTGTTTTACTCTGATACTAGATTATTCAACGATTTCTTACTTAGCCAGAATTGTTGTTATGTAAGATTTTTCAGTGTATAGTGAAATATGATTACCAAAACTTCTTCATAAAGCGGTTATCATTTTCTCCGGATGTGCCAAATTCTTCTCCTAGACCGAGCACGTCTTAGATAAAATTTCCGAGGATGAATGTTAAGCCGGGGTTGCGCTGCCCCGACCTAGAGCAGGATAAGGAGCAAGGGGGTTTTTAGACAGCAAGAGTCTGAAACTCCCTCTCGCCTTACCCTGGGCGAGAGGAGTTATTTGATGATGTTTCCCTCTCAAAAATGTTATTAAAAGCAGTCCAATGTTACTTCAACTTCAAATAGTTTTTGGACTCAATGACTTTGAGTCAAAACTATATAAAACTATAGAGGTTTTAAATAAGGACATGAGTACCAGCTACATTGTTCTAAATTACTTCATAGGTAGGCACAAGTGACGAGGTTTTACTTAATGATATTGTTAAACAACTGTGTCACCATGAATGAAGTTAGAAGTAGTAGTCATAAAGAAACCCGAATGATAAAACTTTAGTACGGGGTTTCAGCAAATAGGAAATAAATAAATTAAAAATACGTATAAGGTATTCATTTATAAAAAAAGACATTTTTGAAAATTATCCATTAATTATTTGTAGTAATTTTGTTTCAGCTATTCATAGTAGTCAATGCAAAACCCCTAGATGATGACATGCTATTATATTGGAGGAAAAGTAAGTCTTATTATTAATTAAGTAGGGATCACAAAGCGAGGTGGAAAAGCAGTGTTGTGAATTTATCACGAAAAAATAAAATGAGCACAAGATACATTCTATATATGTAATATAATAGCGTTAGCGTTATCTCGCCCTAATTAGGGCAGAAGAAGTATTCCCTCATAAAAATGGGCATTTCAATTTTAGTTCACTCGCTACATAGTATGAAACAAAATCGCTTTCTCTGACCCTATATCCCTTAATAACTTATAACTTTAAAATTACGCGATTTTGCTAAATATATAGTGATTAAAGACGACGGTTTATATGTATAATAACATCCATTAATTAGAGGAGAATTTTAGGATCAGTATTGCACCCGTGCGAATCCGGGGCGGGTCGCTATATACATACATACAATACATATTATTATATTATTTAAACATTCCTGTTACTTACAGACGATGCTGGGAAATGTGAACCTTTCACTACGTACTCTATAGGCTGCAATAAATGCGTTTGCAGTGCTGATGGAACTACTTTTTGCACTAGAATGGTTTGCCATAAGTCTACGAATTCACTATCCGGTAAGATTAGGATGATTTTTGTTAAATAAGATTTGATGTGATTTGACAGTGATATGCGAATAGAATTGTCACCAACCCTTTGTTTTATGCGTGTTTCCTAACAGAGAACAATATTCCACCATGAATAGGCTCGCTCCTCCATCGGAGTGACACCACGAGCTCATAAACACAGCAAAACACAGTAGTGGTTGTGTCACGTCGGTTTCTTTTGAAGCCATGGTACCACTCTTGTCGAACCCCATTCGTTCGAAAGTATAATTTCTTTTTAAAAAACTTGAAAATTCACAACCTATGATGGTCTTTGAAAAATACAGTGAAGCATTAGCAAATATTTCACAAAATTAATCCTTTAATCATTCATCATTTCAGAAGGTTCAACTGAAAACGATATACGAGCCATAAAACTACCTTCTGCAGAAAAAGAAGATGCAGCGTCAGAACAGAAAGAGAGAAGGGAATGATAATTTAAAAAACTGTCATCATTTCTATATTAGTTATAAAGGTCAACATACTGTCAACTAAAAATACTATAATAATTGCGTATAACTATCTATTATATTAATATTTTATGAAATCAATAGTTTTATTTCAAAAGGCTTAAAATAAAAAGAACATGTCTAGTGTTTTACACCGTTTGTTACTCACATGCCAGGACCAATTTTCAAAATAACTATCTGAAAACAAAATATTAATTAATTAATAATAGGAACAAGTGCGGTTTATCCCACTTTGGCCCCTTTCAATTGACTTCAACCGAAATATTTTTATTGTCCTTCAAATCGTTTAACACATTCAGTGCCCCCGACGCGTATGTGCGTTTCCTCGCACGCACATACGCGTCGGGGGCACTGAATGTGTTAAAACCTACCTTAAAACCGTGCTCTTTTACGTCGTAAATTGACTACAACTTAGTTCAAGATCTACTACTGTCTTATGATGTAAAAATAAACAATAAATATTACACATTATTTACAATTCAACACGTTTTACGCAGCGGCGATATAACACACGACGCACACGCTACGTTCGCTGACTCATCTTTTGGTCATTTGGATCAAAGGTTATCGGGAAAATATTATAAATAATATCTTAATTATTGTCTTATTTTTCGAAAACGCCAAAAGCAAATAAGTAAATAATACAATTTCAAATCCAAATAATTATTTGTAGGTACTTATTTGATAATTTACAAATATACACCATGAAGTTTCTTGCTCGTTATTCTCCATCGGGATCGACACTTTGGAATGAGCAAACAACTATAGACCGATAGACTGACACATAAAGTTAACTTTTGATATTTATTTTTTGTTCGACGTTTAAAAGTGCCTGTAGTGGTCGACTTGAATTTAATAATTTGACTTTTTGACCTTGACCTACATGTCGTGGTTTGTAAAGACCGAAATTCAATCAGCTAACAAAACAAGATTGTCCCGAAGAATACCACAATAATTGTACTAAGTAAATGTTTTTTTTTTATAATTTTAGGTAAACTAAACAATACTAACAAACAAACAAACAAACAAAAAATACTGATATTGTGCATAAAACAACCAAATCAGCTCCATCACCGCAGCTATTGCAATCTAATCGTATGAAAATAAACAATCTCTTATCGTGAAGATAAACGATTGGATATATAAAACAAAACGGAGCTGTTGGCATTCAGTTACACAATTAACAACACCATCATGTCGCAGCCAAGTTTTGAAGGTTCCTTCGAGGACATTTCTGAAACTCAGTTGGAATTCATCAAAAAAGTTATTGAAGAACAAGGATTCCGAGACTGCAAAGTTACATTCAAAGCCGCCGGTGCCGCAGGTGACAATTATTCAGCAAACGTGAAAAGAATAAACGTAGAAGGAGAAAATGGATCGCTGTCCATGATTGCAAAAATAGCTCCAACCAACGAGATGGTTAGATTACGTATGGGATCACAATTCAGCTTTGGTAATGAGTGTATAATTTACTCGGAATTCCTACCAAAGCTGAGGCAGCTACAAAATCAAATTAACACCCCAGAAGAAGACCTGTACAAATTTCCAAAATGTTACGGAGCAAACGCCGAAGCACCCAATGAAGTTATCCTACTTGAAGATCTTAAAACCGAAGATTACAATATGCTAGATAGATTCAAACCGCTTTCAGATGAATGTATGAGAAGTGTACTAAAGAATTTGGCTATCTACCATTCGCTCTCTTATGTTTTGAAGAACAAAGAACCGGATACTTTTAACTCTTTCAAGAATAGGCTTAAAGATATGTGGGGAGCTATGCTTGCTTTTCCTCCTGAAGCATTGGGATATTTTAATCAACTCGAAGATTTTGCTATAGGAGTGCTGGATGACCCGGAGCACAAAAACATTGTGAAGAATAAAGTGACCGAGGTTATTTCACGTGCTGATAAAATGACAAAATTTGAAGATGGAAGCCGATATGCTGTCATCCAACATGGTGATGCTTGGGTTAACAATATCATGTTCAAACTCGAGGTATGTGCACAATACTTTGATTACATCTATTTTAATAAGGAACCAACCAACAAAACTTCCATGACTGGTTCGGTGCTCTAATAGCTTGAAACCGAAATACTCTTGGTATATTGGTTTCCACAAGCGAGTGTATTGATACAATTTACTTGTTTCGGTACCAATAATATTAATTAAGATAGCCCAGCTAGCAGTAATTACGAAATAAGTACGTTTGAACACGGATCTGATAGTGTTATCTCAATCGTGTTCAGTGTGTTACTAAGTCTGTTTTAGCAAAAGCGTACAATGACCTGATATTGATATTTACTTCTTTTACTAGGAAATTTATTTGTGGAGTTGTAGTGTTTGCCCAATAGTTTGGGTAAACTATTATTGCCATTGCACTTTTAGGAAATTTTACTACTCGTATAATGACATGAAATAATAAATTTATTTCTTTAATAATTTTAAATAGTACTTTCATTAAAACCCCAGATGAGGCATTTTACGTTTGAGTACTCTAAAAAGAAAAGCAGGAATAAAATCGAATACTTCTTTGAAAGAAACACCTCTCCAGCTTTAGTGGACCCGTATTGAAGACATAATGCATGCAAGCATAAAACGTAAGAAGGTCATAAAAGTGTGTCTGGAATTGTGGTTGGTTTATAAGAACATGCTCGTTTATGACACTTCTTTCACACACTTCAATTTTTTTGTTGGGTTCTTTAGAGCGAAAAGCCAGTTCTTCGCTGTCGACATACTTTGACAACCATACGAAGCAGTGGCGGGCCTTTAACAAACAACAAACATATTTCTGTATTTAATTTTTATTCATTTTCTATTTTCAGGGCGAGAGTGTAAAGGATTCCATACTCATTGACTACCAATTGTCCAAGAACTTTTCTCCGGCATACGATCTTCTCTACCTGATCTTCAACTGCACTGATCATGAGTCCAGGGTGAAGAACTTCTACAACTGGTTGGACTACTACCACTCCGAGTTAGACAAATCCTTGTCGAACTATGGTCTGAAAGCCAACTACGTTTACCCAAGGGATCAGTTAGATGCCGATTTAAAACGATATGGAAAACTATCGTTTGGCTGTTGTATACTCTTAACCAGTGTCTTGACGGCCAATTCTGAAGAAGCTGCCAAGTTTAAGGAAAATTTCGATGCCAACGGCTTTGATCAAGTGGCTGCACCTGAAGATATTTTCCAGAGTGAGACCGCAGCTCGGATGAAAAAGCGCTATACTGATGTCATTGAAAGTTTTATTGATTTTGGTTTATTATAATTCATTTTATTGAGTTTTTATATTCTGTACTTAGGCAATTACAAGTTTAAGAAGGAGATTTGGCCATAACACGTTATTATAAAAGATAATATCAAGGTTATCCTGCTTTTAGGAGATGTTCTACAAATTTAGAGCAATCCAGTAGACATAAACCTATTAAAAAAAAGGGTAAATTTTTGGATATGGGATTCATTAAAAAGAGAGATGTTTTATTTTTAATTTGTACTTAATAAATGTTTTTATTTTTTTACTTCTATATTTATTTTGTGCTAAGATAGGGTTTTTGTTATTGTATTGTAATATATACTGTTATTTATTGTTCTATATAGAGTTGCAACACAGTGATGGCAAACAAGATCCTCGTTTGCAACCCTATGCCATAAAAGCAACATTTTTAACAACGTTATAAAGACATCATCAATTGGCTTCCCCGCCCAGGGTTTGGTGAGAAAGTCTGTCAGACTGACTATGAACCACCCTGTTCCTTTTTCAGAGGGCCTACCATGACGTGTTTAAGCGTGAATCTTCGTGCGACAAAGAGGGATGGAGCTATACACCTTTTATTCTTTTTTATTCGTTTTAGCATGTCCTCAGCGACTTTCATGCGATTTAGTTTTTGAAGAAAATTCAGGTCTTTTGGGACTAGCCGAACGGCAACACGTTTCATACCCAAATTATTTGTTAAAATGGTACGGATCGACTCGTGAGATACAGAAAGTTCGGCGGCCATCTCTCTCAAACTAGAATGAGGATTTTCAGTCACTATTTCCTTCACTTTTGCGATGTTAACTTCAGTTGCAGACGTTGATGGCCTACCAGAACGAGGCAAATCTTCCATCACATCTCGACCGCTTTTGAACGCTTTGTACCACTCATAAGCACGTGTTTTTGATAAAGTCGATTCACCGTAAGCCTTCTGTAACATTTTGAGTGCCTCCGAACACGAAATTTTTGTCCATTATGAAATTCGCAATACACACTAGATATTATAAAACTAAAAACAGCACTGTTTTTAATATAAATAACAGATGCAACTCAAATTCCGCACCAAAATGGAAAACAGTTATGCAAATCTAACAACAACAAAAAAAAATTAAAATTCGTTTTTGGAACCATAAAAAAAACATTCATTCCCGATACTTTGTTGACTGAATGTATTATTGCACTTACACCAGCTTAAGTATGTACATTTGCAGTACTACAGCACTGAAGACATCAAAATTAAAAAAAGAACATTCTGAATAAATCTGACTGCATCTCTGTAAAGCCCGCATGTAATAACGTGTGGTCTTGAATATCTACAAGTAATGGCGATAATTATCGCACGGTTCATATCGTAATTTGCACGTCCGCGTCCTAGCGAGAAAACGTGCCCCAAAAATGTCGCAACGTTGAGTGTCTTTGTGTCAGGCCTTTAAAGGAGGATGATTATCACAGGAAACAGACAGGGGACAGACTATAAACCATCCTGGTGCTTTTCTTGCTCCAGACCGAATGAAGGTACTTTAATTTTTTCAACGTTCTAAAATTGTATTATATCAAAATATTTGTTCATCATCTTCATCACCCTATGAGTGCCCACTGCTGAGCAAAGGCCTCTTCTCATACGGAGAAAGTTTCAGCATTAATCACGCTTGCTCAATGCGGGTTATTATTGGTTCACCGTATATTATTGGTGTCTAAATAATCATAGAAAGTAAATATAACTCGGAAAAAGTAACATTGGTACTTGCCAGGTTTCAAACTCACACCCATGATCGCATGAGAAGCGATCTCCCTTTAACCTATCTTTAACCTCCGAGTCACCACGACCTCAACCTGACGACGATTTTTGTTTATATCAAGTACAAACTGTTATGAAAATGCATTACGAGTACAAACTTTTAGCTTGCCATTGAAATTTCTAATAATGATAACTTCCATAAGCTTCCGACAATCGTGCATGACATTTTTTACATTCTCCTCGGACTCGTCGGCCGTGCCCTTGTCATGTAATTTTCATTAAACTTTATTAAAATTAAATATTTATAAATACTGATTCTACGTATAACAACTAACCATGTTAAATTACGATTAACCTCTTTTTATAAAAGGTTGCAAAAGTTTCTTCAAAATTGCGTCTCCCGCCCAGTGTAAGGCGAAAGAGATTGTCGGACTCTTATCGACTAAGAACTCCGTTCCATCTCCTGTTTTGGGCCGATGCCGCTGTACCACATTGCGCTTACCCCGCAACCCCGGTACCATTTTTTTCGATAACTTTTTTCCATCTTGTAGGTAGGGACATGATACCATTTTCATTGAAATTTTGGGACTTCTAATCGAACTACCGCGACAAATGGCTTTCGCAGTACTCTTAGTGATGTTTACCTGACACTGCCTAAAGATTTCTGAAAAGACTGAAAAAAGTGGAAATATGAAGGTCAGGACTTTACCTCACTTCCTAGCAAGACTCTTTTAATTTTTACTGAGTGGGTAAAGATGTGTGATGTCTAGACATCATGATATGATAACGCTAGCGTTATCATGATTAACAACCATGTTTCTTCTGTTGATTGATTCCGTCCGCAATCTCTCAACTTCTTGATAATCTCATCGCAGTAGAGTTCAGAATCGATGGCCTTGCCTGGCGGTAACAGCTAATAATGAATTATGCCCTTCTTATCCTGGTGTGATTAGAAGGCTAGGGTTAGGGTTATATATCACGTTGTTGCTAGTTAGGTTAGGTTTCGCCACAAACATAGCCACACATTATAGCGTCAATATGTAAGCCAGCGTAGGCAGTAAGCAATAATACACCGTTGGCATTCTGAAGTGTATCATTTGTCTCCACACACATAACCCTTTTTTTAGGTATCGGGTTGGAAAATCCTCAAGGAGACCCATCGCCCTCGGGGGAGGGCGAAGGGTACTGTCAGACACTTACTGACTAAAAACCAACACGGTGTTCTTCCAATTACCCAAGTGTCGGAGGGGCGGGTATCGCCGAAGCATTCATCGCAACCCCTTGACGGGTATTGGCCCGCCAGATGGTTAGGCGAGCCCGTCACCCACTGTGGCCCCCCGACCACAGGACTCCTCTAAGAGGCGCGTGCAGAACACGGCGCCGCCACCTCGAGGCCTGCTGCTGATCCGACGACAAGACGGCCCGAGTCGGTGGCCGCAGGTCGGCCACCCTGCGTCGCCACCTACGACGGCCGCGACCAGGTCACGGCGCTGCTCGGCCCAAGCTGGGCACTCCGCCAAGGTGTGCAGCGCCGTATCGTCGCGACAATCCCCACAATGGTGGCACTGCGACATCGGCTCCCGACCTATGCGACACAGGTACTTCCCGAAACACCCGTGTCCTGTGAGCACCTGCGTCAGCCGGAAACTGAGAGCGCCGTGGCTCCTATTGAGCACTCCTCTGAACGGGCCTTACCGCCGCTATAGCGGCGTGCCCCCCACACACATAACTCAACAACATACATAATAACACGCTTGAACCTAATTTGTGCTACTCTAACGGATATTGCACTAGGTCCATATGTGCGGAACCAGTGTTGATGTGGATGGACTTCAGAAAAAATACTCGAACACGGTTTTAATAATTAATAACTTTAATGGGTGCTAACTACATGAGTGTTGATGTGGATGGACTTCAGAAAAAATACTCGAACACGGTTTTAATAAATAATAACTTTAATGGGTGCTAACTACATGAGTTAAGTATAGCAAGTGGTCTGAACTTCAGAATACTTACTTCATAATTTATAATTTTCATAAGCGTAAGTTGATGCTCTGAAAAAACCATCAGGCGCGCGAACATGCCCCCGGGCGTTGAAAGCAGCGGTTTCAACCAAACTCCGAAGTCACAGTAGTGGGCCGACTCGGTCGAATGCTCCTCATACGATGCCACTGGCCGTCTGGATGTCAGCAACACAAGCGATGCCGTCTGTTCCTGGGTGAACCACCACCACCACTTCAACGGAGGGAGATAATCTTCCTTAATCACAACTTAGGAGTCCAGCTTCAATCCATTCTTGCAGGTCAAAGTCAAAAATCATTTATTCCAATTAGACCTTTACAGACACTTTTAAAGGTCAAACAAAATTTTGAATATATAGTGTAAGTCTGTTGGTCAGACCTCTTAGTGAAGCTATTTGCTCGTTCCAAAGTGTAGATTCCGATGGAGTGCAGGAACATGATAGTCAGGTGCAGCAAAGAAGTGAGAGGTTGCGAGTCAGCGGTGTGCAATCTGCAGGATCTGAAGATAAGAGCGTCAGTGGATAAGAGTTCGAAATAGCTTCAATTTAAGTCGTTTGCTGCACTTTCACCCAAGAACAAACTATTTTCCTTTACAAATTAGAAAGGTCACATTGTACGCACTGACAAATGAGGTACCATTGTCTTCTTGAGTAAAGGTAGCTCGCCAATCGACCAGACCCGTACCACGGCCTCGGCCTAGAACAGGAGAAGGAAGGGTTTTTAATAAGTAAAAGTCTGACAGCCGTTCGCGTCGCACCCTGGGCGAGAGCAGTCATTTTGATTATTTTCCCCTTTACAAAAAAAACTCTAATGAGAAAGAATAGATTATGTAGGGCAAAGGTGTACGAGATGGACGATGAAATTTGATAATAATTGTTTAATAATATAATAAATACTAAGTTAATAATAAATAAATACATCGTTTATTTCTCACCACCTTGCGAGGCAGCCAGTTGCCCAGCCAAAGCGCCAAAACTATGCAGTCAAGTCAAATCAACATTTAATAAAAAGTTTATATTACCGGGATATTTTTAACTACTTGTAGGTATGTAATTATGAATAGACTGTACGCTGACAGTATGGTCCGCTGTGGAATCCACCAAGACGCTGGGTAAGCCGACTTGTCACAGCAGAAGGAACGGGTTCACGAGTATGACGTGTGAGTCAAGCAATGGTCCAGTGAACCATTTTGAACCAGAACCCAAAACACTGTTATTCAAAAAAATTGTAATAGTTACTACATTACGTTATTAAAATACTCATCATCATTAAGTGTCCACTGCTGAGTAAAGGCCTCTTCTCACAAGGAGAAGGTTTGTGCAACAATTATCAAGCTTGTTTGTGTGATGTTTTCCTTCACCGTTTGTCAGTGGTGTCTAAATAATCATAGAAAGTACATACTTTTTTTAAAAGCCTGTAATGAACCACTGCTGAGAAAAGGCCTCCCTATCCCTATCTCGCTTCTACACCTCCCGATCGTTCGACTGTGACCACCATAGTACATATAACTTGGAAAAAGTCACATTTGTACATGCCAGGTTTTGAACCCGCGCCCTCATGCATGAGTAGCGGGCGCTCGTATCGTATTAAATCCTAAGTTAACCTATACCGAATCCTGCTTCAGGATCGTCCGTCACATTTGTGCCTACTCTACTATTTTCCATCTAGCACCCGACCGGAGATCTGGTCGTCGCGTTTCTATGATTTTTATGACAGCGTTGTCTTCCAATAAAACTTATCAAAAAGTAGGTAATTATGTTAAACTATATAATAAAATAATAGAATATGTTCATTTATCGAAATCCAAACTCCCAAACTATATAATATTATAAATTCGAAAGTAACTCTGTCTGTCTGTCTTTTCTTCAAGCTTAAACTACTCAACCGATTTGTATGAAAATCGGCACAAGCATAGTTTGGAACTTAAGAAAGGATTAATATTTTTGTTTTTTTTTTTGAATTTTTTATACAAAAATTTTGTAAAACCAAAAAAAGGAAAATTATTACAGACATACAGCGCCATCTATTGCTCAAATCTGGTCCACTTTGCCGAACTTGAATCGATAGTTTCTTATAAAATAATGGTTCGCCAGATGTTCTATTCGCAGTTCCAGAGTTAGGTAATACTTAAAAATAAATAAATGCGAAAACATGTTTTGCGTTCTAAATAAAACAAGCTGTTCCTTTGCACTATAGATGGCGTTAATAGCGCAATGGAATCATTACACGTGTTCAGTTCATATTATTGTTTCAATCCATCGGAAAAACCTAAATAAATAGTAAAAAGGTATGAAAAAATTATCCATATCAATCAATACATATACTAAAATTGTAAAAAGTCGGTGTCTGTACGTGGAAGATAAATAAAAAAACCGTACTAAGGGAACTTATTATATCTGCGCAATAGAAGAACCCAAAACAATGACTTTTTGAAATTTTCTCTTATTATCTGTTTGTCTGTACGTTTGTTCGGGCTGACCTCAAAAACGGCGTAACCTAATTGAAAGTGGTCACTATTGTGTGTGTGGTTTGCTGGAATTAACATTTAGTCTTCATCGTTTAAATCGGTTCATAAGTAAAAAAAGTTATGTCAATCTAAAAAATTGCATCATCACATGTGACTCAAACTAAAATGGGACAATATTATATTCATCCTTGCCGTAATAACTAGTTTCATATTCAATTCCGTTCCGAAATCCGATATCCGGTAAAAATTTCTTCGTAGTTTCCGTCTAATTTAGCTAGATGACGCTGTACAGTTTCGCCACAGTCCTAAATAGCGTTATATTAGATTGGTATGTTGTAGGTACTTTTTGACAAAACAAACTAAAGACAAAACTAACCAAAACACTGTATGGCCTGAACTCTCTTCTTTGTAAGGATTTTTTGGATTTCATTGTAGGATCTAAGATATTTGATCAATTTACGGCAAAGCCATGTCATTTGTGGGTGCTAAATAAGTTCATTTTTAACTTTCTTGTGTACCTGAGATTTTCTTTTATAATTATTGTAGAAAAAAATGGTGCTTTTAATGTATATTTACCTTGGTATACCTAAATATTACTTGCAATTGAAGGACTAAAGCCAAAGGAAAATGTGATATAAATGGTACTTTATTAGTCATACAAGTTTGAGCAAAATAATGATTAAATTGATATCTAGATACACATAATCGTTTGATTCGATTGACTCATTTAGTTATTTAATAATATTTTTGATGACTTATGATGACTTGTACTTGATGATAAGGTTGTCATCAATTAACTTTTGATATTTCCCCATTTAATGTTAAATATGAAGCAATAAATTTATTTTTACAGAAATATAAGTATGTTTTGTGAATTGATTGAATAAAATAATCGAGCTCCGTATCGGTGGACGGCTCCAGCGTCTCTTCACGGGTCCAAGAGCCACCTTGGCTCTCGTTGACATTGGCAAGTTTGCTTGCTCTCTCCCGCCCGTCTGGTAGTTTAATTTTTTATTTAGTGACTTCCATATCTTTCCCACGAGTATGTGGGAAATAAAAGGTCCACCCAGGGAGAGCCATTGTCATTTGTGTCCCAACTAGGGGGCCACCGGTCCCCTAGCTGGGGGTGCGCTCACGACTGATGACACTGCTCAGCGGTTAAGCCAAGACCCTCGTCCCGGTCTGAGTCATAAAACATGACCATGATCTTTTTCCGGATTACGATATCGACGGGTGCAGTCGGGCGCAATGAGTGCCCTGGTGCTACTCGTGGGCGGGGTTAGTGCACAACAAGCGCATACCTTGTTCCTCCACCACGTTCTCTGTTAGGTCCAGAGAATCGTGAACGCACCCGATGAAGGCGCAGACCCTATGCCAGTACAGAGCCAGTCACCTCTAGAACCCAACCGGACTCTCCACGCAGCCAGAAGTCGCTACGGGCGACAGCCAATCTAACCCTGTCACCATCCCGTTAGGTAGACTGTCGCCCGCACCCAGGGTGCACCACGAGGAGGTCTTCTGGCACACACCCCATTGCTAACAACCCTGAATATTTTATCAAATTAAAATGTATCATAGCATCAAATGTTTATTTTTGCTTTGATTAGAGATACGTATTTGAATCATTACTGATAAACCATAAACCGATTATCAAACGACAAGGCTTATAACACTAGATAAACCGTCGTTTAAATATGTACGATAGGATTCCATTTTCAACAGTAACAAAGTTTAGACCACAATGTCACAATTAAAGCTCGAAGGTGATTTCCAAGACATATCGGGACCTCAATTAGAGTTCATCAAGAAAGTTATTGAAGAAAATGGGTTCAAAAACAACAAGGTCACCATTAAAAATGTTGGAATAGTAGGTGACAATTATGGAGCAAACGTAAAAAGAATAAACATTGAAGCGGAGAATGGCAATCTGTCGATGATTGCCAAAATAGCACCAACAACTGATTCAATTCGCATCCGTTCAAACGCAGTTATTACATTCGGTAATGAACATTTGATGTATACAAAATTTTTGCCTAAGTTGAACGAGATACAAAAGAAAGAAGAAATACCAGAAGAAGAACTATTTATATTCCCAAAATGTTACGGATCAAATCCAGAAGCACCCAATGAAGTAATCTTGCTAGAAGATCTTAAGTGTAAAAACTACATTATGAAAGACAGATCGAAATCACTTCCAAATGAATGCGTGACTTCTATACTCAAGAATTTGGCCATTTATCATTCTATATCTTATGTTTTGAGACATAAAGAACCTGATACTTACAATTTTTTCAAAGACAATTTGAAAGAAGTTTTGGCAGCAATGACAGAAACAGGCAATTTAGATGCCAATAATTTTGACATGGTTGAGGACTTTATGATTAATTTACTTGAAGATCCAGAACATAAGAATGTTTTAAAAAACAAATTATGCCGACTTCCTCAGGCTGTTGTCAAAATGGCAAAATTCGAAGATAACAATCGATATTCAGTCGTTGTGCACGGCGATGCGTGGACAAACAATATCATGTTCAGATTTGAAGTAAGTACATACATTATTTAATCTTATTTAACCTTCATTTTTATCGATACGTCTTCATTCTGTTAATTACGTAATTTTTTAATTTATATTTGATAATTTCGGCTGAACGGTTTGTTGAAAAATCCTATGATATTCTGTAATTTTTAAATTCTCCAGTAAATTATTGTTACTTGATTTATCATTCATTCATTTATTTATCAGTATGACCATCAAAATACCTTTTCTGAGTAACTTAAATTGTAATATAATAATGACTTATACATAGCTACGTCGTATAAATATGTATTAAAACATTAATCTTACCTAAACCTCAAACACGAAGCCTACTGCTTAAAAACCTACAAGTTGAATGATTCACATGACAAAACACCTACAACCAGTAGGTAATTCAAACATTAAAAGTACCATCATTGATTTGAAAATCGATTATTTTTAATAAAATGATTCAATTACTTAAGATTTCATTCATGTCTACTTAATTTGGAATGTCAAAGTCAAAAGTCAAAAATCATTTATTCCAATTAGACCCTTACAGGCACTTTTGGAAGTCAAACAAAATTTTGAAGATATAGTGTCAGTCTGTAGGTCAGTCCTCTTAGAGAAGCTATTTGGTCGTTCCAAAGTGTAGATTCCAACGGAGAAGAACGAGCAAGACACTCCGTGGTTACTCTTTTTAAATCAGTTTCATATACAGATTCCTTATACAAACAATTGGTTCAATTATGTGAGAACAGTGTAACACTAATATTTATTCAGAGAAATATAAAAAGAAAATAACCTAAATGATTGGAAACAGAACCGATATCCGATTGACTTCAACTTTTTGTACTTAAAATGATTGTTTTTTTCAGGGCGACACTCTAAAAGAGTCGATGTTGATAGATTACCAGTTATCAAAGAATGGTAGTCCAGTCTATGATCTTATTTACGTGCTCTTCAACTGTACCGACTACGAGACCAGGACTAAGAACTTCTATGACTGGTTGGATTATTACCATACACAACTAGACAAATCCTTGTCTAACTTTGGCCTTAAAGCCAACTATGTCTACCCAAGAGACAAATTAGATGCTGATCTGAAGAGATATGGCAAAACTATGTTTGGTTGGTCTATACTTTTATGTTCTATACTACTAGCAAATCCAGAAGAAGCTGCAAAAATAAAGGAATCCATAGAGTCTGAAGTGCCTCTCGATGCCGCTGAAGCTGCCGATGTCTTTAAGGCTGACACAACTATGCTACTAAAGGAAAGAATCATAGGCCTCATTAAGAGTTTTCAGAATTATGGTCTTTTGTAATTTTAATTAGAACAATGACTAAAATATCGATGAGTGAAATCCAATTCTAACACCATTTTGAGTTGAATGCAGTACTTTCCGTATTGCATCTCTGATCATCTCTGATCTTGAAAGCAATTGTTTAATTTTAAGAGCTTACAATAAGTAAAGAAATAAGGAAATCTCAAAACTAAGTTTCTTTATTTACATTATCATATCTATCTTCTTACTCTATCTGTTCATGGACAACTATTCATATAGGTTTTTAAAAAAATCGACCATAATATATTAATACTTTACTTAAAAGTTAATACTGTCCCGCAGTTTCACCCGCTGCTCGGCTCCAACATATCGTAGCGTGATATTTTATTGCCTATAGCCTTCCTTCCGAAACGTTCAATTCGAACCGGTAGTTCCGGAGATTAGTGTGTTGTAACAAACAAACTCTACAGCGTTATAAGGAATATAAAAGTATAGATAATAGAATATTTTTGTTTTAAGGAAGATAAAATTAAGTATTTATCTAAAGACAAAATCAGCGTCGGATTTTTGCACCAGTAAGAAACTCGAAGCTTTCATCGGCGATCTTTCATTAACGATGTTACTCAGGTTTAGTAGTTTTCCAACTTCGACAAAAACCATCACCTCAAGTAATTCTCTCTGGATAACCCTTTTACCCAAACGCTTTTCAAGATAAGGAAAGGTCTTTGTCAAAGATTCATAATTATGCTAAAACTTTATTAAAATACGATAAAAATATTAGATAAACAACCACAAGCAAATTCTAAGCATATTATTAAAAAATATTAACGGGTACTTTGGACAGGTCGAAGAATAGAATAATTTGTCAGTTACTTCGTTAGTGAAGAAAGGTGGTCGTTCCAAAATGTACATTGAAATGGAGAAGAACGAGAAAGAACTTCATAATTCCTCGTTAAAACGTTTTACAACCCAAACTTTCCTCTCCCCATTCCTCCAATTCTCAAACCCTAATCTCCAAAAGGTAGGCAAAGCACTCGTAACTCCTCCGTTGTGGCTTGTGTCCATCCGCTCGTTTGCCATTGTATTTATTACATTAAAAAACAATATTGTAATTAGTGACAAGACAAAAATAAACGATGACTATTTCTTAAACATTTTCCTTAAAACTATCTAATCATTAATAAACTTCTGTGTAATTTTAGAATGAATACGTAAACTAAGATAACTCAAGTCAAATTTTTATCACAAATTCCAAGATTAGTAAAAATTTATTGATAGCTCTTTAATTAAATCATTTTACATAAAGATATTAGAAATGCTGAATAATGTACCTTATATGTATTATGAGTATCTATGACTCATTTGGCTGATATAGTTTATAATATAAAAAAATCACATGACTCATAGAAGATTTTGGAGTTAGGGGCAACGGACAATATCTTTCTCGGTAATAATGCACAGCTTAATAAGCAATCATGTATGTTAATACTTTTGAACAATCCAAATTACGGTCTCAATCGTTTGAGCGTCATTTTCAATATTTAGAATGGAAGTGGAGCATAAATAATTAACAAACGAAACAACATTATTTAAATCAAATTAAATTCCATAATTATCAAGATCGACAAATAAGTACCTATTAGGTATATCTAATCATATAAAAAACAAACAATCAGACAGCAAAGCTTATCTGCCCGATAAAGTATTGCCTATATATTATAGCGGCAGAAACCAGCAACCGCTTTTAGTTCTGTCATTCTGATCATTATGTCTAACTTTGAAGGAGATTTCCAAGACATAAGCGAAGGTCAACTGCAATTCATTAAAAATGTAATCGAGGAAAAAGGTTTTAAAGACAGCAAAGTGATATTTGCCCCCGCCGGTGCAGCAGGTGATAACTATGCAGCAAATGTGAAAAGAATAAAAGTCGAAGGAGAAAACGGACAATTATCAATTATTGCCAAAATAGCTCCAACCAATGAATTGGTTCGGAAGCGTATAAATGCCACCACCATGTTTGGTAATGAGCATTTGATTTACATGGAATTTTTGCCGAAATTACTTCAGCTGCAGAAGCAAGTTGGAACTCCCGATGAAGAGCTAGTGAAATTTCCGAAATGTTATGGAACTAATATCGAAGCACCCAACGAAGTTATTCTACTTGAGGATCTTAAAGAATTAGGTTTTTCAATGCAAGACAGACTTAACTCACTTTCTGATGAATGTGTGAGTAGTGTATTGAAAAATTTAGCTATCTACCATTCCTTGTCTCACGTTTTGAAAAGTAAAGAACCTGATACCTACAACTATTTTAAAGACAACCTAAGAGATATGTGGGGAGCCATGGCGGACCTACCTAAAGAAGAACTCGCTTACTTTGGCCAACTTGAAGAATTTACAATGCAAATGCTGGACGACCCAGAACACCAAAAACATATAAAAAACAGGATTTCTGAAATCGCACCACGAGCAGCGAAAATGTCAAAATTAGAAAATGGTAGTCGATATGCAGTCATACAACACGGTGATGCTTGGACAAACAATATTATGTTCAAATTTGAGGCAAGTATTTATGCATTTTTATCAATATGGTTAACAAATATGTTACATTTAGGTACACTTCACTTATTTTTTTTTTTTCTCTTGATGACAATGAGTTAAGAACAGACTTTATCCAACTTCTAGTTTTACATGAAAAAAATGTTTGTCATTATTATAAAAGTCTATCTTATTGTGTTTATTACATTTTCCGGTCATCCAAATTTACCTATAACTACAATTATTAATGTCAGCATGCCAAACGAAGCCGAAACTCATGATGATAAGATTGGTTACCAACCTAGAAATTAATATTTAGCTGTAAGCTTTTTCTTTCGGTCAAAGTACAACAAACAACGACTTTTTTTGCTTAGTCCATTCATGTTTTCTGTATTTTCCCTATAAAAGATAAAAGTTAAGAAAATAGAATTTGATTTCTTTTTGAATAGCAACTTAAAAAAAATATTATATAATTTGCAACGTGTCAAAAGGAAAATGCCATTGATAATATTATAACACATACGTACGAGTATAATCGTAATTATACTGTAGACAATGTGATAACATATTTAGATCGTTTTAGATTATTTAATCCGTGTTATCGGTAACGTGCGTGGGTAACGATAAGATAAGATTTTGATTAACATAAGTACATATAATTTGGTTTCCTAGCCTGTAACTTGTGAATTATATAAATACAATAATATTAGTCATTCTAGCTTCTCTCGCGCGGTATCACTTGCTGCTCAGCTACGTTTGATCGTAGCGTGATGTTTTATAGCTTGTAGCATTCCGGAACATTAAAGCTATCGTTTAGGAAAACAATTTTGGAAATACGACCAATGGTTCCTAAGATTACCCCCTACATACAAACTTAACAATTACAAATGTTACGACTTAAAGGGTTTTCATCGCTACTCTTGTTTAATTTGCGACTTTTTCTGGTTCCAGGGAGATACTTTGAAGGAATCGATTCTAATAGACTACCAGGTAGCAAAGAATTCCAGTCCAGCCAATGACCTACTTTATATGATCTTCAACTGCACTGATCATGAAACAAGGCTCAAGAACTTCTACAATTGGTTAGACTACTACCACTCCGAGTTGGATAAATCCTTGTCGAACTATGGTCTGAAAGCCAATTACGTTTACCCAAGAGACCAGTTAGATGCTGATTTGAAGAGATACGGTAAACTGCAATTTGGTTGCTCCATACTTTTATGCAGTGTACTGTCTGCGAAACCAGAAGAAGCCGCTAAATTTAAAGAGGGAATAGAAAGTGAAAGTCTTGATGGTGCTATAGATCCGATGAAAAATTTGCATGTGGACACGATGGAACGTCTGAAAAAGAGAATCACTGGTGTGATTGACAGCTATATTGAATTTGGTTTGCTGTAATTTTTTCCTCGAAGATCGACTGTGCTATTTATTTATTTTTCTATTAAAAAACCTTAATAAATCAATATAATTAAACATTTATTATTAAAAATTTATTCTATATTTGTATTAGATGTATTATGAGGACTCGTTTTGAAAACGGTGGAAAATGTAAAAGCAATATTGACACGTGCTAAACTCGTAAAAAATTAGTAGGTACCCTTCTCATAAATAGGATTATACCCATTGCTAAGAACACAAGCGGTTGAATTCGGCTCAAGTCGGCTGAAGAATGCAGAGCGGTTATTTTTTATTAAAAATTAAGAATTTCAGTTAGACTTTAGTAATAAAATACAGTGAAGCTGTTACTGCGTTATGCTGTTCAAACAGCAACCCATTAAATGCATAATCTTATTAAATTTGCTAAAATTATTCGAACGATTCGCCGCCACTCGAAGAAAAACCCAATAAAAGGCATTCATAATTATAGTTTCTATAGAAACTATATATTATTCGTCCCTTATTAATATACACCATACACAAAAATATTAAGCAAAAAAATTACACAATGGTTTTGTGTAATTTTGTTAAAATAAAGTTGCGTTCTAAGTTGTAGTTCGGAACAGACTATGTCTTTTAAAATGTTATTGTTTACTATAATCGCTCTATTTTATATTGAAACCTACCTAACTTTGTCGTCGAGATCAGCATTTATTTTAGTTAAAACTTTTCAATACCTATACCTATACCTATACAGATATGACTTTTTAAAGTTAATTGTCATAATTGAATGCATACATACAATCTTTATACTCATAGTACACTCAAAAGCACGTTGTAACATAGGAAAAACAAAAATGAGTTGCAGAAGATGCTACAGTGATCCACTAGATGGCGCTTTTATATAATTATCATATTATTATCTATTGTAAGTTCTATTCTTGTAACCACAGGCAAACATAAAAGTCAAACAAATATATTTTTTTATCTATTAATCTGCTTGCTGCTTCATGCATAAGAATATGTATACAAGGAACTGTCTGACCTTTGGGTGATGCAAGAAGAATACGGATGTTGTGTGCAAGAAGCAAGCAGGAAGTTAAATTAAAACGTATTGTTGTGACTTTCATTTTCACAGTTATTGGTAAATACCTACCAGATATAAAAATATTTAGGCAATTTTTGGGAACCTCTTTTTTCATCCAGTTTCTGTAGTATATTTTTCTGATAGCGCATTGGTGTGTTTACGTGATAGTTATTTTTATCAGGCACTGTGTTATTTTTAATAATATAATAAGGCAAAATGTTTATCCGTATGTATCAATATTGGTCTGGGGCAGGGGCCATAGTATTTCGGCCGGGGATTGTCCTTGGATGCACTTTTATAGTGCATACAGGGATAATTATCGGCTGATGTCCCATCACATTTATATTAAAACTGTTCAACGGGCCTCTGCGTTTCGAGTTGGCTTCAGCTCCTCGTACGCCTTCCAAAGGTCCGGGATCCTGTGATCCCGTGAAAGGAAACGAACAAACATAAAATAAGGCAAAATAAAATTAAAGTAGGTATTCTATATGAAAAACTATTCCACGTCAGTCAGTACCTATGATGATGATGATGATGTGTACCAAATATTGAGAATAATTAACTCTTTATAAGGATTCTAGGTTACTTACCATTTTTTTGTCATAAACTATACGCTTAATCATTATTTCACAGATGTTATTGAGTTAGGTGAAATCAGAACAGGTAGAAGTGATACAATCCTTCGTTGGCGTATCTCATCAGATTATAAGTGATGCTGCTTTCCTTCTCCGTGCGAGGCCTTTGATTCTGCTAATAAAAGGCCTCTTCTCACACGAAGACGTGAAAGTTTAAGCATTAATCACCACGATTTGGTAGGTAAAAGGTATCATCGAAAATGTCTCCTATTAATCATTTTGAACCCGCACTTGTTAAAAATGAAATTGAAACATAGTATAATCCAGACAAGTAATATCGTGAGTAGATAGGCTACTTAGTAGATAGATGACTTTTTCAGACTGGCCAAATTCTATAATTTTATAGTATTTTCGAAACATATGTAAGTACATAAAAATAAGTATTTTTATTCTCAAATATAGTGGGAAGATCGTGCTGCTAAAGGACTTGTCTCTTATAACAATCATAGTATAGCTAGCAATAAATACCTTACCTGCGTTTACCTACCGATATATTAATTTAAAAAAATACCCTGACTAAAACTCCTGTCGTACTTTTTGCCAGTGCGTCACTGCCATTACTGCGTATATATGATATTTATAGTAGCCACTTATTTTATTATTGGTACTGGTACTGGAACCTGTCCAGATCTCAACATAAGTGGGAAGAGATTATTAACAAAAAAAAAACCGCCTTCAAAAAAAGTCAGACGATAAAAGCTCTTACACTAAAAAGTAAAAAATAAAAATTGGAATTGCTGTAAAGAAACTTAATTTATAGGTAAACTTATTTGACATTGATATTTTGCAAATATTCAAAATTTACTTATTACTTATTTTTGGAAAGCTTAAACAATGCATCCTACATTATTTTAATTTGAAGTTACTATGCCAACCTTCCACCTTCCAGCTTCATCATCACATCAGTTCAATAGTACCTTACAGCCAAAGTGCATCTTATAACAATTCTAACAAGCCCAAACACGGCTAGGATATATTAATTAGGTACGCAGTTCCAATGCCTACCTTCCAGCTCCATCATCATCATTAGATCAGTTCGTCATTTCCAACATAATTATTTAAGATCATTGGTTTATAGCGCATTTTCATAGTTGCTTAACTACATTGATTGTGATATCTATGCGAGTGTCAAGTTTCATCACCCATTTCTGATTTTCTTCACCAGTTCCACCTCATCAAATATTACTTTTTGACTGTAAATGCTTGAGTGCTCTATGAAAATATTAAAATTACTATATAGTTACCTATAATATTTGAGGAGTTCCCTCGATTTCTCATGGATCCCATCATCAAAACTCGATTTTGAAAAGAATGGGACCAATCTGGAAGCATATCCTTTCAATCATAAAAAAAAATTTGCAAATCCGTCCATAAACGACGGAGTTCTGAGGTAAGAAACATAAAAAAAAAAATATACAATCGAATTGAGAACCTCCTCCTTTTTTTGAAGTCGGTTAAAAAGAATGCAGCAACGTCATAATTTCTGTAGTCTTTTCTTGACAAAAATGTTGAAATTATGACTATAGCGTACGAAATTAAATATGTATATTTAGGTTCTTTGTAAAAGAAAACAATAAATGAGGTTTTAAAACTGCAGGCATCAGAAGGGGAATTATAAATAACACAATTTTAGGCGAGGTATGACAAAAATAAATCTTCGAAAACACAGTTTTCCCACCTCGTCAAGCAGCACAATGGGCCGATACGGACGGAGAGTACACAGGGCACCCCGGCTTCTTCACGAGGACCAGTTTTCCCGACTTCTACGACAGCAGAAACGGGCTTCTCTCCAAGCATGCCTTGAGAAACCAAATTGGCTTCAAAGTCTCCGACGCCAGGACCAAGGTCTTAGCATACAGCCCGTTAGGTCGCTCAGCCGGTGCACCGCCGCTCACAGATCTATCTCGGTCACTTCCGTAACGGAGTCATCGTCGTCGTTGTTGTGGCCCGTGGCGAAGCCATGGCTGGACGTGTGAATCCAATTTGTGGTCAGGGGAATTAGGGCCCGAACCACAGCGTCAACGGCCTCTGACCGGAGACTCTGAGTCAGTAGGGGCGCCCCTCAGGCGCGGAGCTTGTCTCGCACAATTATATAAGGGCATCCTCACGGGTCTCTGTTCAGAATCTTCGCACGAGCCCAAAACGGTTACTAATTCCCTCAGAGAGTTGTGTTGTTGTATGACTCATGATTTTGTGCTAATTATCGTAAATCGATCGAGTAACAACCACAGAGTAATTACTCGAAGATAGCGGTTTTCTTCGAGTATTTACTCTGTGGTTTTTCCTTTTGTTAACTTTGGTAATTGTACCGTTTTGTAATTTTACTGTGTATGCTAGTGCAAGTGTACTTTTACAGCTTTCCATCGACTTTTCATCTTTCTTATTGTCGTTGAGAATGTTTTGCACTCTGGATAACGCTTTGTAGTAAAGTGATTAGAACTCGATAGGCTCGGAATTCTGTACCTTAAGATCGTCGGCGATACATTCCAGGCGCAACTTTCTGCACCTTATCATTTTTTTCGTACAATGAATCCATCTTACTCATGCGGAATACTTTGTCCTTGAGTCAGTCCAGGAAGGTGACGAAAGCAGTCCAGCGACACTTAAAGCTGCCGCGCTTTTGAATTAAATCCCTTTTCTCGGACATACTGGGACAGGAGTGTAGTCAACCTGGAATCGGAATATATTAAAAAATATAAGAAAATACAGGAAAATAATTATTAAACCTAGCAAACAATATGGTTAAGACACACCTAACTGTATTTTAGCACTGACTGAATGCTATTATAAAGCAATACAGAACCTACAAATTAATTACAATTTTATATAAAGCTAAAATAAGTTAATTAATTTATGTTGTATAAATTTCTCGTAAAACGACCTACAATTTATAATGTTGTAAACTTTTTTTTTTGTCGGGTGAAATTCATCAAATGACCTCTCCCGCCCATGAGGGCATATCATATGAGGGAAATAAAAGAATTAGTTGTTTAATACAAAAATTAATAAATAGAACAGTTGATTGACAAGGAAAAATTACAACAAACCAAATTCAATATAGCTGTCAATCACACTAGTGATTCTCTTTTTCAGACGTTCCCTTGTGTCCACATCTAGTTTTTTCTTCGGATCTGTAGCCCTATTACGCAGACAGGACATTGCATAAAAGTATGGAGCAACGAAATTGCAGTTTACCATATCTCTTCAAATCGGCATCTAACTGGTCTCTAGGGTAAACGTAGTTGGCTTTCAGACCATAGTTCGACAAGGATTTGTCCAACTCGGAGTGGTAGTAGTCTAACCAATTGTAGAAGTTCTTGAGCCTTGTTTCATGATCAGTGCAGTTGAAGATCATATAAAGTAGGTCGTTTGCTGGACTGGATTCTTTCCTACTTGGTAGTCTATAAGAATCGATTCCTTCAAAGTCTCTCCCTGGAAAAAGAAAACAGTCGCAAATTAAACAAGGGAATAGAATGAAAATCTTTACCTTTTAAGTTGCAAAATTTGTAATTAATTGGTAAGTTTGTGTGTAGGGGGTAATCTTCGGAACCATTGGTCGCATTTCTAAAATTCTTTCACTAATCGATAGCTTGAATGTTCACGCTACGATCAAATGAAGCCGATCAGCGGGTGAAACATCTCAATTGTTGCTAGTATGACTAATATTATTGTTTTTATATAATTCACAAGTTACAGGCTAGGGAACCAAATTATAGGTACTTATGTTAATCAAAATCTTATCTAATCATAACCCACGAACGTTACCTATCGCACGGATTTAATAATTTAAAACGATCGTTTTAGATCATTTATTAATTTTATTTATTTATTCAAACTTCATGCACAATGGGTACATAGGCGGACTTAATGCCTTAGGCATTTTCTACCAGTCGAGCCTTGGGTGATACAAAGATGAGCCAATGGTCAGTGCAAGAAGCAAGCAAACAGACTTAATTTTATATGAGTTAAGACGAGATAGATACGTAGGTATATATGTGCAAACCATTTACAATATAATATATACAAATTACTCAAATTACATAATATATTTATAAATAACATATACATACATAATATAATTATACTTATTACAATATATTATATGGTGGTGACGATTCAGCCAAAGCTTTTAGCAAGAGCTCACGAACGTTTTGTTTGAAAATCAAACGACGAGACACCATCCTGATAATTATGATTATAGTCATAAGTATGTATGTGTTATGATATTATTATCAATGGCATTTTCCTTTTGACATGTTGCAAATGATGTAATTTACATACATAGAAGTACAGATAATACCATTACTACACTGACAAATTGTATAGCTTGTTCGTTAGATTCTGGAAAGAAGTGTCTTGCCATATACCTAGATCCGGCCAAGGCATATGACACGATCTCGGTTTCCATTGTTTTAGAAAAACTTAAGAGATTCTGTATAAGAGGCATCCAGCTTAGGCTCTTCCAGAGCTATCTCGCAGAAAGATCTCAGAGTGTGAAAATGGGAAATTATACTAGTTCTTACCTCCCTATAACTTGTGGAGTTCCGCAAGGCAGCAACCTGGGACCTACCTTCTTTCTCGTTTATATAAACGACCTCACTAACCTATCTCTACTCCAAGGAAATCATTCTTTACGCGAGGGTACTGTACTGCACTTATTTTCAACGCCAATAAATGAGATGAGGTATTTAACTATGCCCAACAAGGTCTCAATGTAGTGAAGAAGTGGCTAATTTTAAAGGCCGGCAACGCACCTGTGACTCCTCTGGTGTTGCGGATGTCCATGGGCGGCGCCGATCGCTTTCCATCAGGTGATCCGTCTGCTCGTTTGCCAACTATTTCATAAAAAAAAAAAATAATCTAAATATTGTTACTAGGTACATTGTTCCTGAGGGGAACGGCGCTGTAAGCTGAGATACAGGCTCACGCCTAGTTCGGCTGCAGATGCCACTTCTTTAGGTTATAAGTAAACTGTCACCACAGTGTTTTGTAAGGTCTGTACTGCACTGTTGTTTTTGGTATAAATAAAATAATTATGAAATAAAAATAAATTATTAATGTTTTTTTAAAGTTGCTGCTCGAAATAAATCAGAATATATTTTCGTAACTTTTATCTTTCCTGATCCTGACCTCATGAAAATGGGACCCTCTCGGCAGTATAACCTTTCAAACAAAACAAGAATTTTGGAAATCTTTTCAAAATGGCGGAGTAATCGGTGAACATACAAAAAAAATAATCAGCCGAATATAGTACCTCCTACTTTTTTTAAAGTCGGAAAAAACATTTCAAAGTAAACTAGCACTACCGACCGATGTTTTTTAAGGTTTTGTGTTCCGAGAATTCACTAAAAATAATCACGTAAAATAATATAATAATCTATATACTTATAATAAATCTGTATCGAAGTCAATGCTGTACATTAAATATATTTTCAAAATAACTACCAGTGGGTGTATAAGTGATCAATACTGATACCAAAAATGCAATCAGTAAAATTTTTTTCTGTCTGTCTGTTCCTTATAGAAACAAAAACTACTCGACAAATTTTAACAAAACTTGGTACAATTATTCTTTATACTCCTGGCAAGGTTATAGAATACTTTTGATCAGTCTAAATAAAATAGGAGCAGAGCAGTAAAGGGAAATGTCGGGAAAACGGGAGAAGTTACTCCCTTGTAAGATTCCGACGCGTTTGTAACCTTAATTGTTAAAGTTACATAGAAATTATGTATGACGGAAATATTCTACATAAAACTATCTAAAAAAAAATATCTGTACAGCATACATTTATCTTTTATGGTTAACTCATAATAGCACGTGTAACTCCTGATAGCTTAGCAGTTCGGATAATAAGCCATCGCGCCGTCGCATGGGAACACTGAATCATGCTATAATTATTATTTTGACACGACGCGGTACAAAATATAATATAATATTATAGGTTTATGAAATATTTGTAATGCTTACCTATTAGTTAGATCCGTACTATTCATGGACGGACGGATAGCGGAGACTTAGTATAGTAATAGGGTATTTACCCATTGGAGAGGTAACCATAAAAATTAGACGAGTAATAACAAATTGTATGTATACTTCGATTTTGTTCTATTGCTGTAGGCTGCTTTTTATCGACACTGCACGCGGCCGAAGCCGGTGGCGGAAGCTAGTAATCAATATTTATCTATGAAAAGAAACTCCATCTTTTCATAGATAAATATTGATTATTTGTCTATTTAAGATGGAGTATCTCTCCATAGATAAATATTGATTATTTGTTTTTATTTGTGGAAACAAGTTTTACAATATTTAAGAACACAAGACGGTATTAGCCGTAAAATTAGTTTGATGGGTATGCTACCAATTTTTGTGCTAATACCGTCTTGTGTTCTTAAATATTGTAAAACTTGTTTCCACAAATAAAAACAAATAATCAATATTTATCTATGGAGAGATAATCCATCTTAAATAGACAAATAATCAACATTTATCTATGAAAAGATGGAGTTTCTTTTCATAGATAAATATTGATTATTTGCATATTTATAGCATACCCATCAAACTATAACATTCAATAAAATCATTTAGTTGTGACTTATGTTATTCGGTCAAAATATTGGCCAAATAGTACATTCAAAAATACCAATTAAAGAGTGAGACAAACAAAACTCTAATATTGAAATATTTTTATAAATCGTTAATCCTGTTTCCCAACTCAATGGTAAAACATTTCAAAGTAAACTAGCACTACGGATCGATATTTGTTAAAGTTTTGTGTTCCAAGAATTCAATTAAAATAATATCTAAATAGACAAATAATCAATATTTATCTATGAAAAGATGCAGTATCTCTTCATAGATAAATATTGATTATACAAAAAACAAGCAATCAGACAGCAAAGTTTATCTGTCCGATTAAGTATTACCTATATATTATAGCGGCATAAGCCAGTAACCGCTTTCAGTTCGGTCAATCTGATCATTATGTCTCACTTTGAAGGAGATTTCCAAGACATAAGCGAAGGTCAACTGAAATTCATTAAAAATGTAATCGAAGAAAAAGGTTTTAAAGACAGCAAAGTGGTATTTGCCCCCGCCGGTGCAGCAGGTGATAACTATGTAGCAAATGTGAAAAGAATAAAAGTCCAAGGAGAAAATGGCCAATTATCAATTATTGCCAAAATAGCTCCAACCAACGAATTGGTTCGGAAGCGTGTAAATGCCACCACCATGTTTGGTAATGAGCATTTGATTTACACGGAATTTCTGCCGAAATTACTTCAGCTGCAGAAGCAAGTTGGAACTACAGATGAAGATCTAGTGAAATTCCCGAAATGTTATGGAACTAACGTCGAAGCACCCAACGAAGTTATTCTGCTTGAGGACCTTAGAGAATTAGGTTTTTCAATGCAAGACAGACTTAAATCACTTTCTGATGAATGTGTGAGTAGTGTATTGAAAAAATTAGCTATTTACCATTCCTTGTCTTACGTTTTAAAAAGTAAAGAACCTGATACCTACAACTATTTTAAAGACAACCTAAGAGACATGTGGGGAGCCATGGCGGACCTACCTAAAGAAGAACTCGCTTACTTTAGCCAACTTGAAGAATTTACAATGCAAATGCTAGACGACCCACAATACAAAAAACATATAAAAAACAGTATTTCTGTAATTGCACCACGAGCAGCTAAAATGTCAAAATTAGAAAATGGTAGTCGATATGCAGTCATACAACACGGTGACGCTTGGACAAACAATATTATGTTCAAATTTGAGGCAAGTATTTATGTATTATTATAAAAATCTATACATATAATAAATCTCTAGAGAGGTCAATTCTGTACATTATATATTTATATATATATTCAAAATAACCAATAGGGGGTGATAAGTGATCGATACTGATGCCAAAAATGTAATCTGTAAAATTTTTGTTTGTCTGTCTGTCTGTATGTTCCTTATAGAAACAAAAACTACTCGACGGATTTTAACGAAACTTGGTACATATATTCTTCATATTCCTAGACAGGTTATAGAATACTTTTCAACACGCTACAATCAATAGAAGCAGAGCAGTGAAGGGAAATGTTGAGAAAACGGGCGAAGTTACTCCATTTTTTTAGCTTCCGTCGCATGTGCAGGCTTAATAGTTAAAGTTACATACAAATAATGACTCACGTAAATGTTCTACATTAAATTTATACAACATATCTTACAACTGTATGCTGATAGCTCAGCAGTTCGAAGCATTCTGGTTATATTTTTTTAATCTTACGTTTATAATATATACTCACTTATCCATAATTAAAAAAAATACATTATAATCTATTAAATAAAGAATAATCATACAAATCGGTACAGAAACACTAAAATTATACCATAGACCATCGCGCCCTCGCACGTGAACACTGAATCATGCTATAAGGATTATTTTTGTGTGATCATTGCCGGTTGCCGGGCTGGACACCAGCCCGCAACCAACTGATAATTTTGCAAGATCACTTTTGTATGAGGAAATACCGTAGAATACCTACGATAAGAAATGAGGTGTCTTTAACATAGATGGCCATGGTGCGTAGCGAGAGAAACTAGGAAGCCATCTCCTCTTTCTGAGAAGCAGTTATGTTCGTATAGAAGGAGGGGGGCCGCGTGAGGGTCCTATCCTCCTCCTCACGCCCCAGCTGCCGCAGTAGGGGACACTCCGGTCGTCAGCGATGGACAGGCGATCTCAGCTACCATAAGCGCGGGTCTGCGGACGGTGAGTCAGGGTAACTAGCCGCCCGACTAGAACCAGACCCGAGCATACGGCGCATAGCAATCCGCGCTGTTGTAGAATATTTTGTAGATAATTTTATGTAAACCACTACCGTATTTCCGAATTTCTATGTAATTTTAAGCATTAAAGCGAGTTCTCCCGTTTTCTCAACATTTCCGTTCACTGTTCTGCTCCTATGAATTGTAGCTTGATGAAAAGTATCCTATAACCTGCCCAGAAACATAAAGAATAATTGTACCAAGTTTCTATAAAACCTGTCGAGTAATTTTTGTTTCTATAAGAAACATACAGACAGAAAGACAAAATGTTTAAAGATTACATTTTTGGCATTGAACAGACTTTATCCAACTTCTAGTTTTTCAGCAAAATAATGTTTGACATTATTATAAAACTATCGTAGTGCGGTTATTAGATTTTGCGGTAATCTGAATTAACCCGGCAACTATATGTATTATTGTCAACATACCATACGAAGCCGAAACTCACGATGATAATTGGTTTCCAACCTAGAAATCAAAATTTAGCTTTAAGTGTTTTTCGGTCACACAGATTTTAAAACAGGTATCTGCCTGTTTTAAAATCTTGGCTGCCCAGATCACGAAAGTGAAGCCACCAAAGCAAATACAAATTCAAAAGCGAATACTAACTCGAGTCAGTCGTCACGAAGCGTCACATTGTTAATACGTCATAGATAATATTTATACTTTTGATAATAATAACCGTCTTGTGTTCTGAAATATTGTAAAATATTTTCCCAAAAATTAAAATAAACATGAAACAAATAATCAATATTTATCTATGAAAAGATGGAGTATCTTTTCATAGATAAATATTGATTATTTGGATATTATTTTACGTAATTATTTTTAGTATATTCTTGGAACACAAAACCTTTTTTATCTTTTAATCATAATTATGCTGTAGACAATGTGATAATGTCTGTCTTGCTGTGGAATGAGTTCCCCCCGTATATCAGGATGGTGTCTAGTCGTTTGACTTTCAAACAAAAGGCTCGTGAGGTCTTTTTAAAAGGTTTGACTGAATTGTGACCATCATATAGTATATTATAATAAGTACAAGTATATATTATGTATGTACATGTTATTTATAAATATATTATGTAATTTGAGTATTTTGTATATATTATATTGTAACTTGTATGTATATGGCACATATAGTCTGTTTACTTGCTTCTTGCACCGACCATTGGCTCATCTTTGCATCACCCAAGGCTCAACTGGTAGAAAATGCGTAAGGCATTAAGTCCGACTATGTACCCATTGTGCATGAAGTTTAAATAAATAAGTAAAGTTAATAAATAATTTAAAACGATCGTTTTGAATTATTAAATCCATGCGATAGGTAACGTTCGTGGATTATGATTAGATAAGATTTTGATTAACATAAGTACCTATAATTTGGTTCCCTAGCCTGTTACTTGTGAATTATATAGCCTATAGAACTCAAGAACATTAAAGCTATCGATCAAAGAAATAATTTTGGAAATCCAACCAGGCAGTGGTTCCAAAGATTACACCCTACATACAAACTTACCAATTAACAATTTTGCAACTTAAAGCTTTTCATTCCATTCTCTTGTTTAATTTGCGACTTTTTTATATTTCCAGGGAGAAACTTTGAAGGAATCGATTCTTATAGACTACCAAATAGCAAAGAGCTCCAGTCCAGCATACGACTTTCTTTATATGATCTTCAACTGCACTGATCATGAAACAAGGGTCAAGAACTTCTACAATTGGTTGGACTACTACCACTCCGAGTTAGACAAATCCTTGTCGAACTATGGTCTGAAAGCCAACTACGTTTACCCAAGAGACCAGTTAGATGCTGATTTGAAGAGATACGGTAAACTGCAATTTGGTTGCTCCATACTTTTATGCAATGTCCTGTCTGCGAAACCAGAAGATGCCGCTAAATTTAAAGAGGGTATGGAACGTGAAAGTGTTGATAGGACTATAGATCCGAAGAAAAAACTAGATGTGGACACAAAGGAACGTCTGAAAAAGAGAATCACTAGTGTGATTGACAGCTATATTGAATTTGGTTTGCTGTAATTTTTTGTCGACGATCAACTGTGGTATTTATTTATTTTTGTATTAAAAAACTTAAACTTTTCATTTTATTTCCCTCATCCATTTATTGTATATTTGTGTACACACGTGCTAAACTACTAAAAAGTAAGTACCTTTTTCATAAATTGGATTATACCCATTGCTAAGAACACTCGAGGTCGAATTCGCCTCTTGAGTCGGCTGAAGAATGCAGAGCGGTATTTTTTAAAATTAAACTTTAAGGATTCCAGTCAGGCCTTAGTTTTATGCAATGCAATGAAGCTGTTACTGCATTACACTTCTCAAACAGCATGAGCCGGGTGAATATCAACAAGTCCATATTTTTGACAATTTTGGTGGCGAAATTTTTTCTTTACTTTTCTTAAAACTATTGACCTGGTATAAAAATAGAAGGCTCAAGCTTTAGGAATCTTCATGAGGTCTGAGAATTTTTTGAGGTATTTGAGGTCAAAGACTAGTCTAGCCACCAAAATTGATATTTGTCCACCATAATTGATAGTACTTAAAACAAAACACTAAACTCCGTTTTTGTCAGACTTAAATCGCCCTAATAAAGCTCAATCAAATTCAGCTTGTCATGATAAGATTTATAATTATTGATCTTCTTATCTATAATATAAAAATGAATCGCAAAATGTGTTGGTAAGCGCATAACTCAAAAACGCCTGGACCAATTTTGCTAATTCTTTTTTTGTTTTGTTCGTTATTGTAAGGAGAAGGTTCTTATGAAAGAAAATATTAGAAAAGTAGAGGGGAAAATTGGGGAAAAGGGACCCCCCTTTCATTGTCAGCGACATAGTTGGACCCGTGCGAAGCGGGGGTGGGCCGCTAGTATATAACAAATGAATCGCAAAATGTGTTGGTAAGCGCATAACTCAACAACGCCTGGACCAATTTTGCTGATTCTTTTTTTGTTTTGTTCGTTATTGTAAGGAGAAGGTTTTTACGCAAGAAAACTTTGCAAAAATAAAGGGGAATAGCGGGCATCAACAACCCTTTTGGTGCCGAAGCAGTGCACTTGCAAAACAAATGACTGACTCCGAGGTAGTAGGATATCCGTGCGAAGCAGGAGCGGTCTGCTAGTAGTACTACATAATTATGGCGGTAGACATAAAAACCCTTTTTATTTTGAACAAAATTACTTGCCAAACAACAAAAATTTCCTCAACAATCAGTCATGAAAGGAATTTTTAATTTACAAATATAATCCTCCTCTTATCTTTACTAAACAAATAAAAAACTTGAAAATAAGAAAACAATATGCAATATGAACTGAACATTGACAGCCATAATTACTCATAATATCTACATATACTAATTCATAAAGAGGTAAAATTTTAAGTTTGTATGTAGGGTAATTCTTTGGAACCGCTGGTCGGATTGATAAAATTCTTTCACTGATAGATAGCTACAATGTTCCCGAGTGCTATAAGCTATATAACATCGCGCTACGATCAAATGGAGCCGAGCGGTGAACCCGCGCAAGAGTAGCTAGTAATAATTACAAGAGTTACATGGATTAACAAACCTAATTGTGTTGTCTTTCTCACACACAGTAACTTAAATCATAAATCATACTCTTTTCTTTGTTATACTAAACATTTATATTGTTATATTTACCAACAGTTTCCTAATAACAATTATAATATTTTTATATATGATTTATTTACCACACAACTCTTTAAAGATCTTTTATCTTATAAAGTATTGTTATGAAATGGAAAGTACTTATAAAAAGTAAGATTACCAATACCTAGACTCTACTTTGTAGTGAAAACTGTCTTTATACATATGTATGAAAAAATAATATATAAGCAGTACACACTTAAAATTTAGTGGCTTATTTTCAAATTTGGTGGCGAAAATAGCCACCAAAGCCAGCAAAATGAAACCAGGCATTAAAAAAATCTTAAAAAAATACAGTTATTAAGATAAAATAAAATAAATATCACTGATAAATAAGATACCCAAAACACTACCTACAATACTTTGCTCACTATTATAACACTTAAAAATCACCAGCAAATCGATCCACCAAAATTGAAAAATTCTTGTCCCCTGTTGAACCCAAGATGATACTTACGTTTTTGGCGGGAAATCACAGCACTATGCACACACCTGTTACACGCAACGACTCGCGCGCGACTGACAAATACAGATAATAAAACGCGATTATCGCACACGCACAAATCTTCATGCTAGATGTAAATTGAAAAAGTACTACCAGATTTATGATAATTTGCAAGGACAAACTTAAATCACTCGATTTATTTAATCCTGTGCTTTTAAAATCAATTTTTATGATTGGTTTAGTTGTTTTAAGATAGCGTGTCTTATGCATTTACCATTGTAATGATTTGTTTTTTACTTCACTTTAAATGGTTTCTTTGGTAATTACATTTATTTATATAAAAAAATTAAGCTAGGACAAGCCACCAAACTTGAATTTTAAAGTTATTTATTTTTGCAAATCTTTTTCGGTAAACCTATTTAAAAAAAAATGAGTTACTACTTATTTAATATCTTTATGCACAAAAAAATTACAAAGGTGGTCTTAATGCCATGGGCATACTCTAACAGCCCAACCTTTGGGTGGTGCAATGAAATATTGAGGATCATTAACAGCTTTATAAGGATTATATTATGGTGCTACCTATTATTGCGATCATTTTATTTAAGCCACCTTTGCTTTTATCTCTATCAGTCACATTAACCCAATACTACTCTCCCCTCATCCCCAATCCCCAATCCGCAATCTACAAACATCTCAAACTCCATAGGCGGTGCCGATTGCTTACCATCAGGTGATCTGAAAATTACCCTGACGTGCAGTGACGCATTACTGCGTGTGCGCATAATATTTGTAGTAGGCACTTATTTTATTATTTAGTTTTGTATTGCCAATGCAAAGTCACTAGGTTCTATACTAATTAAACACTCCTTAGTTCGTCATTTTAATCAATGAAATGTATCTATAGTACACTTTTTTTTTAATTTTCCAATTAATGTCATATTTTTTACGTAAGATATTAATAAAAAATAAACAACAATGTCTTGAATTCTGTTGTATTCTCTTAAAAACATACCGCAGAAATATGACTATAACGTATGAAATAAATTATATGGTTTTTGTAAAAGAGACCAATATTTTACTTTTTTTATGATATAATATCATTTAGAACATAATTAAAGCAATTTTTGCGAGTACTGATAGCATCATCAAAAATACGATAGATATCATACTAGTCTAGGAAATTTAAAATAAAATAATAAATTTTTAAAAATCGTCGTCCCAAACTAGGAATTGCTGGTTGCATTTATAATCATCACATACATATCAGAACCGTAACAATAATCTGTAGATGACACAAATAATCGTTCCCTGCTGAAATAAGGACCGCAACTCTTTGGCAGCAGCGGATTGCTTAGCAACTGCTCCAACTCTTCAGCCACTAACAGTTAATAGTAAGTTATTTTTTTTATATCTTATCACCGTATATTTTCTTTTTTTCTTTCCAAATTTTACCCTAAGTTTCAAAATGATCGAAAAATCCGAATTCATTATAACTAGCAATTATTCCTTCAATTCTCTTTCTTGCACGTTTCTCAGATTCATCTTTCATTTTAGTGTTGGCTAATGATGACATTAGTTCTGTAAGCCCACTGTGTTCCATACTGTCTAGTATTTCTTGAGTTTCATTTACATCTCTGTTCAAAATATTGCTAGTTAATAATGCAATACCAAATATTAATTCACTGTATTTCTTCACATCGGCATCCAATTGGTCCTTTGGATAAATCACGTCAGCTTTGAGACCAAAGTACGACAAGGATTTGTCTAGTTGTGTATGGTAATAGTCCAACCAGTCATAGAAGTTCTTAGTCCTGGTCTCGTAGTCGGTACAGTTGAAGATCATGTAGATGGTGTCCATCACAGGATTATTTCTTTTAGCGCCTTGAAAATCAATCATTGTTGGAGGTCCTATTTGGTCATCCTGAAAAAAATAAATTATTGAAGTCACAAAGAAAAAGTCACAACAAGTAAAATTGTTTTATAACTCATAGCATTTTTAAACCAATTTTAAAATTGTTTATTGCTTCTTCCTTCTAGAAAGCAAAAACAGATTTTTTTGTCGACAGTCAATTTAAATGATTTTATTATATTTCTTTTACACATAATTGAAAGTGTAATCAGGTTACCTAGTTCCAGCAACTACTTAGAGATTAAACAAAGTGCATAAAATAAATAAGTAGGTCTACTACATAAACAGCATCACATAAAAAAAATTAGGCACTTACCACAACTTTGAATAGAATATTATTCGTCCAAGCATCTCCATGTTGAATGACTGAATATTTTTTATCCTCCTCTTTTCTCAACTTAAGTACCAGTTTAAACAAATTTGATATTTTATTTTTCACGATGTTCCTATGAGTTTCGTTGTCAACTATTGATGCAGTAACATCATCAAAGCCTGTAAAGCTTTTCGTATATTCCGGTGTCACTGACATCAATGCCCAAACATCTCTTAACTTAATCTCAAAACATTTGTACGTTGCTGGTTCTCTAATCTTCAGCACGTGTGACAAAGAGTGAAAAATAGCAAACGTTTTCAGAATATCTCTCACAACGGTATCTTGTAACGGTTCGTACTTATTCAACATTATATGACCTGATTCCTTAAGATCTTCCAAAATTATCACTTCATATGGAGCCTCATCTTGAGATCCGTAACATTTTGCAAATCTTAGATGTTCTTCTTCTGGTACTCCTGCTGCTTTCTGCAGAGCCACTAGCTTAGGTAGCACCTCCGTATACATTGCATGCTCATTGTGAAACAAATGTTCGGTAAATGTTGATTTACGTACTATTTCATCTACAGGTGCTATTTTCACGATCATTTTCATAGTTCCATTTTCTCCTTCTATGCTTATTCTTTTCACGTTTGCACCAAAATTATCACCAGCTTGCCCAAATGAATTAAATACTACTTTAACAAATTTTAAATTTTGTTCTAAAATTACTTTGTGTATGTACTGTAGTTGACGTTTATTGATGTTGGTAATATCTCCTTCAAAATTGTACTCCGCCATTGTGTCAGTCCCAGAAACGGTCACAATTAAGACTAAAGTTCACAAATGTAATTTTTATTATATACAAGCCTACTATCAGTGCACGTTTGTTTATAATCTGCATCCAGATAAACACTCCATCAAAAAAAGATAATGACAGAAATAAATTTGATAAGATATTATTAAAATTAAAATTTAGCAGTATTAATAATAAATAACAAAAGATTTTAATGTGGAAGAGCTATGATTTGAATAACGAATAAAATAGTTCCACCGGAGTGATGGCACAGCTTCATAGACATCCAGCTTTGTATTTTGCAGTGTGAGTAAGGATACCGAAGGCCCAATCCTTCTCCTCTCCCAATCCACAAATATCTGACATTGTAATCCCTGAAAGGTCGGTAACACCCTTGTAACTCTTCCGGTGCTGTAGGCACCGATTGTTTACCATCAGGTAGAGAGAGCTGGCGGATTGCCCGCTCAATTGTTGTCTTATCACATAAAAAAATGTGTCAATGCCCAATTCTATAATGGCATTTCATGTCGTACACAAATGACAGAACAAATTACAAAATTAGGCTGTGTTGGGTTGAGGTCAAATACCTCATTCAATATTACACAATCTGTTTTGTCCGAAATATGGCGTATCTAGTAACGGAACGGTTTGTGAACGTTGATTGGTTGATACGTCCACGTGCACTCGCCTTTGGATCTCCTAGTGATCATCTCGTGTTGTCAGTAGTCAGTGGCAATAAATCCAAAAATACAGACGTCGAAGTGTCAGGAAATATTGGAAACAGAATAGTGGGATTAACACAAAGGTATTTACATTTTCTATTTATAAAAATAGTTTTATACGTGTACTATGTCAGTAACAACATTTATTTATTGGCTTATTTGATTTAATCTTTTTGGTTTGATGACAGAAAATTGGTTACAATGAGTGTCGAAAGCGGTAGTCTTCGCACAAACGCTTTAATAACATGCCATTGACGCCTAGTTCGTGTGCACTTGTGTGGGCGTCATTTGAGGTCGGTTGAATTTGAGACATGATATTTAATAAACAATTGACGGCCGGCCCAAACTCGTTTAGTGGTTAACGATAAAAGACGCAGTGACTAGAACTTGCTTATGAATTTTTTCCATGCGTTCGTGTACGGAAATAGAATAATTCTGTTCCGTATTTTGGGTTCGTTTTCGACGTCTACCAAGTTATTTATTACATCTTTTATTTTTCTTTTCATTTGACCTTAGAAGACGCATTTTATTTGAGTAAATCTTGGTTTGTTAAATATTTATTTAACTGTCTGCCATAAAAGTAATCAACTGTTATGTTGTCTGACTCTATCCACTCAATTTGCCTGAATTCTTCATAATTATGTGGACTTTAAATAAATGCGACATTTACCTACATCTCGTGTTGAAGTCGTTTACAAGAAGGCCAGTTGAATTGTCTTCAAAAATCGAATGTACTAACATGGTTTAGACCAAATAGACATAAGCAATTTAACATCTTGCTGCCATATAGAATTGAGCAAGCAAATAATAATACTTATAACTACAGGCATAAGGTCAAAAGTACGAGTGTTGATATTAGACGTTCCTTGATGAGTTTAGGAGCCCGTATTTCTAGAAGGCAGACTTGTCTACAAGAAACCATAAATTATGTACACGGAAATAGTGTAACAAAACTGCACATTAGTTTATAAAAACATGAGACGTAATCCAACGTACTGACCTTGAACACAAAGTAAATTGTGTGTTTTCAATATTAATATAGAGATACATAAGTACACAGTTGTATAGTTGAATAGGTATGTTTATTAAGCAATAAGTACCAGTTCATGTGTTACATAATGTATTATAGAATCCTCTATAGTATAAAATGAATGGCTAAATATGCTAGCGCAAATCTCAAGAACGGCAAAAAAAGAATCAGCGAAATAGGTTCCTATTTCGCTGATTCTTTTTTTGTTCTACTTATTATTAGCAGGAGAATTTTAAAAATCATTTCTAACGAGAGTAAAAAGGCAAATACGGTAATAGCGACCCTTTCGCCGTCAGCAAGGTAGTTTTTTCCGGCGCGGGTGGGGGCAATCAAATCTCTCTTAGATGTGTTCAAACGTGGCTAGGTAATTTTTAAATGTTGGATGGGACAGATTCGCACCAATCTCAACACTACAATCCACGATGCTTTCCACTCGGCGGCAGATAGAAATAGATGGTGGAGAGTTATACGCAGTACACTGCTTCCATGAGGTGGCCACGACCCTGGCGTTGAGGAAACCGACAATAGGGGGAGTTAATTTTTAAAGCACTGTTGTTTACCAGTACCTTTTTATAGTAATTTTTGAATCTTTTATATGGATTAATGAATGACAAAACAATATAAGCATAAAATGAATACTATATATATAACTATACAAACTCTATCATTTTGGTAATCTATTTATTTAATAGATCGGTTCATTAGCGTTATTCGTCATCAGCCGTTGTACATATATTATTTAAGTACATACACATCACCTTATTCTTATCATAATAAACGACTGTGGGATCCTAATGCCATATTGTATATATAATTAAGAAATTTGCTCGACCTTGATCAACCCATTAATCGAAAACTAGAGCGTTTTTTCCTGCTCCAGGCCGAGGCCACGGTACATTGTTGTGCTTGACCCGCCACCTCGGCTAACCGAGAAGTCTTGCACATTCTAATGTTACTTGCTCATTTTATTGAAAAGGCCTAATGTATAGCAAACGAAAACGAATTTCTTCCAGAACAATCCCTCCTCTTTCTATTAAACACCAAAGCCCCAATCCCTGAGCTTGAATGACAAAATAGGGATTGCAGTTGATTTACTATATAAACATTTAAAGAATTCCAGTTCAGTTCAAATGTATTTAAAAAAGTACTATCAAAAGCATTCATTATTAATATATTTGTATGTAGGATTTGACAGATTGAAATTGCGTCGTCCCTTTTTTGTGCGGGAAAAATGATCAAATGACTTCTCCCGTCTGGGGTAAGGCAAGAGTGAGTATCAGGTTCTTACTGACTAGTCCCCGCCCCGTTTCTTCTACTGCACTTGGCCAAGGCCGCGGTGCCCTATTGCGCTTGCCCTGCAACCCCGATATCCCTATGTTATACATTTTCTTATATATAAAAATTAATAGTTGTTCTTTAGTCTCGCTAAAATTCGAAAAAGGCTGGACTGGACCAAGGTGGCTTATTGTGGTCTTGCAATATTTCTGGTTATATACTGGGAAGGTTTAAAAGGTCAGAAAATAATGCAGATTAGGTATTTGAAGCGGTACGACGTTTACCAAGTCAGCTGGTTTAATATATAAAAATGAAATGCTGGTCGTTTGCCTCACTAAATCTCGAGAACGGCTGGTCCGATTTGGCTAATTTTGTTGTGGTCTTAAAATATTTGTGAAAGTCCATTAAAGGGTTAAAAGGTCTTCAAGGGTTAAAACTATAGTTAATATTAAGGCGGAACGTAGTTCGTCGAGTCAACTAGTAACTTATTATTATTCTAGTAGTTGTTTTCATGGCTCTTGTTAACAAATAATAATTTTCCAAAAACAATTTATAATGCTGACAAAGCATTAAATAAATCATCGAAACTTACAACTATACATTATATCCAATTGTTTGTGATATACGACATAAAAATGCTTTCTCATCGTCAACAAATTAAAATTAGAAATAAACGTATTGTGAAATAATTACGACGAATCTATTTATCTTAATATTAATTTATATCTTATCAAACCGAATTATGCTCAGCAGCTTATCTTTCAGATAGTAGATCAACTGCACCTATATATACATGTGTATGAAAATGAAATTATGTTTATTATTTCCAGTTCCGCAAATTACGTTACAATGGCACAGTTCAATTTCGATGGAAATTTTGAAGATGTCACAGAAAAACAGCTAGAATTTATCAACAAAGTTATAGAAGAACTTGGGTTTAAAGGTAATAAAGTGACATTCGCAGCAGCTGGAGCAGCTGGTGACAATTATGCTGCAAACGTAAAAAGAGTCAAAGTAGAAGGAGAAAAGGGAAGTCTATCGATAATTGCCAAAATAGCACCAATAAATGAAGTGGTTCGACATCGCTTAAACGCGGCACTTTCATTTTGCAATGAGCATCTAATGTATACAGAATACCTACCAAAGCTGTTAAAACTACAAAAAGACGCAGGAATACCAGATGATGAACAAATAAAATTCCCAAAATGCTATGGAACGAATATTGAAGCACCACACGAAGTAATATTATTAGAAGATCTGAAAGTGGAAGGATTTACTATAATGAACAGAATGAAGTCTCTGTCTAACGAATGCGTGACTAGTGTACTGAGGAACTTAGCATTATTCCATTCCCTTTCTTTTGTACTAAGAAATAAGGACCCTGAGAGTTTTAAATATTTTAAAGAAAATTTTGTTGATATGTGGGGAAAGTTGGTTAATTTGCCGCCAGAAGAACTTGTTTCCTTTGAGCATTTGGAAAGTGCTTCTGTAAGTATGGTGGACGACCCTAAACATAAAGATATGATAAAGACCAAAGTAAGTCTGATGCCAACAAGAGCTGCGAAAATGACAGCAATAGAAAATGAAAGTCCATATTCAGTTATTCAACATGGCGATGCTTGGACTAACAATGTTTTGTTCAAGTTTGAGGTAAGAATTTTCAATCAATTAAATAGTAGTTTGTTTCTTCATTGGTCAGCTGTAATCTCTAGACTAAGTAATGTGCACTAGATGTTAGTCGATTTGAAATTCGCCTTTCTATGTGTGATCTATACTAATACTAATATTATAAAGAGGTAAAATTTGTATGTTTGTATGTATGGGGTAATCTTTGGAACCGCTAGGCGGATTTCCAAAATTCTTGCACGGATAGATAGCTACAATGGTCCTGAGTGCTATAGGCTATAAAACATCACGCTACAATCTACAGGAGCCGAGTAGCGGGTGAAACCGCGCGAGATTAGCTAGTATGTTATAAGCGTAAAGCAAATAATAGACAGAGAGACCATGTTTATTGTTTATTAACTTTGTAGCCAACGTAAAATTTTGTTTATTTAACGAACAAAGTGTTTGCAATGGTTTGGCGCTCTCTCTCTTTCACACTTTATAGTTTTCTAAATTTAAAACTTACAGTGTTTATGACTGGTTAAAGTTTTACGCCAAAAACACACAATAATTTAACGACGTACAACTTTATTGAATTGAAAGTAAAATTGGTACCCAAGTATCCACTCAAACGAGTGAGGATTTTTAAAATAACGTCTGTTTACAATTCATTCTTTACATTCTGAATTTATTCTAGTGTAAACCATAGCCTACTATCGTAACTACAATCAGTACTGAAAATAATTCCAACTGAGAAGTATTTTTACAATTCTAAACAATCTACCGGACTCAAAATTCCACGAATTATTGCTAGGAATTCAGAACAATAGGTTTTAAAAATTAAATTTTTGTACTGAGAAATTATCATCATTTTATTAAATTATTCTTAAAAATTCACCGCACAAATATTAAGATGAATTCTATAAAAGTATGAAATAAGGATGACAGTGCAAATTTATTTTTATGTAATATTTTTATTAATATTGTTATCAAATTTGTTGATAACAATATTTGCTTGATTGCCGTTGATACTGCTGGGTTCGTCTGAGTGGGCTAAAATAGTGTCCGGGTCCCAGGCGACAATAGCCATAACACAATAGTCATAACAGGAGTTGGTATGGGGTTATTTTTAGTAAACAAGAGTCTGACACTGGATGGTCATTGGTCTGGATCATTTAGTGATTTTCATCTTTCAAAAAGGATTTTATTCAATCACGACACGACGACGACAATGGTAGGATCCTTAGAGATGAAACTCATATAATATTATTTGTTCGTATTTCCAAAGTGTAAAGTATATTTTTTTTCTTTTTCTATTTCAGGGCGAGGAGTTGAAGCAGTCTGTAATGATTGATTACCAACTGTCAAAGATCTCCAGTCCAGCCAACGATCTACTCTACATGATCTTCAATTGCACCGACCATGAAACAAGATTCAAATACTATTACAAATGGTTAGATTACTACCACGCTGCATTAGGAAAATTTTTAGAGATTCATGGTTTCAAAGTAGACGACGTGTATCCTAGAAAACAGCTAGATGCTGATTTGAAGAGATACGCAGAATTAGGTTTTGGATGTAGTATTTTGATCTCAAGTATATTGACAGCTAATCCTGAAGAAGCCACTAAGTTTAAAGATGCATTTGCAGCTACTGATGCAGATGATTTATCAGGTGCAATTACAAATTTTCACAATGATACTGCTGTTCTTCTAAAGAAACGACTTGTTGGGTTGATTGATAGTTATCTAGCTTTCGGTTTGTTGTAAGATATTATGCATTACGTTTTATTAGTGAATTAGTGTTCATAATATCCACTAGATGGCGCTAGAAAAGTATCGATAAAGATTAGGTAAATTGTAATAGCGAGCGTCAGTTAACAGGCAACCTAAGGTTGCTGAGCTGAGAAATAGAAATGTACCTGTATATTACCTGAGTATAAATTGTCTTTAAGATAGTAAACAAGTTATATTTGAGCTACTCTCAGACGTTAATGTAACTTTATGAGTGGTAGATAACATTGATTACTTTATGTATTTTGTGGTTAAAAAATATTTCAGTTTGCCCTAGGTCATGTATGCAATATATGCATAGCCAGAAAAAGTATTAATATTTGGATTTTTGATTTTAAATACAATTATAGGTACACGATACCTAGTTTAGAGCACATATACATTTGGTAAGCAATTAATCCAAATATTAATTATTATGTTTTCGGCTTTCAACACTCGACTCAATGCTTCTCATGAATATGGGCCTCTAGCATGGCTTGAAACTAGTCGAGTACCCCTTAAATTATTACGTGAGTAAGCCGAAAACATATCATCACGAAAGTTATAATAAAAATCCAAATATTGTTTGCTATGTTAGTTTGTAAATCATATTTCTTAATTTTATGACACGTTATTTCTTAAATAAATAAATGATAATTATTTTTTATATTGTTTATAACTTATTTATATGAAGTCCTGTCTATAAAATGTTACTATGTTATCAAAACCACACTGACATATCCTTTTATTACAGTACCTTATATATAGATAGTTAGTTAGATAATTAGATATATTGTTACTCATTTCGAACACATTTCATTTACAAGCCTAGATCCTAATGTCATTTGTAGAACCTATTCCATGCTAGTCCTTCAGCCGGGGTTGCGCCGGGAAGCTGCGTGTTCCGCGCGCGCCTCATAGTGGAGTCCTGCGGTCGGGGTGACGGGGCCCGCCTGACTATCTGGCGAACCAACACCCGTTGGGGGGATGCGACGAATGCTTCGGTAATACCCGCCTCTCCGACATATATGGGTAAATGGAGGAACACCAGGTTGGTTTTTAGTCAGTAAGAGTCTGACAGTACCCTTCGCCCTTCCCCGAGGTCGATGGGTCTCCATGAGGATTTTCCAATCCGATACAAAAAAAAAAAGATGTAGTCCCCCCATCCAAAGTGGGAAATAGACACAGTCATTTGGTATATACCGGAGTCTCTGCGTCGGCCAAGATACAAAATAAAATAATGTTTTATTTTTACATAATCTATTTTATTTATTTACATTACCATCCATACCATATTTGTTTCAATTCCTTAACTTATTTGCGTTTTATCAAGACAAAATATAAATACATAAATAAAGTTTAAACTTAAATGTAATTCAGTAGTTTAGACATTCAAGAAAACCTCTTATACGTGTATTAAACCAAATGTAATGCAACTGTTAATCAAATCTTCCATTCTCTTTTTGCCACGAGCTAAGCTTTCTTTTTGCAATTCTTGTTGGTTCATTGTTTTAACTGCATTAAAAAATCCACCAGATTCAATATTTTCCTTAACTACACTGGCTTCTTTAGCGTCTCTCATCAATAGATTGAACAAGAGTAACGACATGCCCAGCATAGGTCTAGCAAATCTTTTCATATCTGCATCTAATTGATCCCTTGGATAAACTAAGTTAGCTTTCAAGCCAAAATTTGACAAATTTTTATCTAACTCTGTATGGTAATAATCTATCCAGTTGTAGAAGTTCTTTGACCTGGTCTCATGGTCGGTACAATTGAAGATCATGTAAAGAACATCCATCGCAGGACTTTGATGATAGGATATTTGATAGTCAATCATGCATGATTGAACTAATGTGTCTCCCTGTGAACAGAAAATACACAATTTTGTCAAAAATCATTTAAGTTGTAGAGAGTTATTTTCACGACTCTTTGAGGAACAATCAATATGTTTGGCTTATTTTTACCACTCCTAAAATACTCACCACAAATTTAAACATCACATTGTTTGTCCAAGCGTCTCCTTGAATAATCACTCCATGTTTGCCCACATCTTCTTTCGACAGTTTTAACAAAGCTTTAAACATATCAGCTGTTTTATTTCTGACAACACTTTTATAAACCTCATTTTCTAACAGAGATAATACTGCTTTTTCAATAAGTTCTATATTTAAATCAAATTCTGGTGTTCCAGCAACAAGTGGCCAAAGGCTAGGTAATTTACTTTTAAATTGCTCATAAGTGTCTGGTTCTTTGTTTTTTAACACGTATGAAAGAGAATGTAGAGTGGCAAAGTTTTTTAAAATACTCTTCACACTTTCGTCGGTTAGGGAAACGTATTTGTCTAACATAACAAAATCTGATTCAGTTAAGTCTTCTAATATAATCATTTCATTTGGTGCTTCGTCTTTAGATCCGTAACATTTTGCGTATCTGAGATGTTCGTCTTCTGGTACTCCTGCTGCCTTCTGTAGTGAAACTAACTTTGGTAACACTTCCGTATACATAATTTGCTCCCGATGAAATACAACATCAATATGCATTGATTTACGCATTGCTTCGTTTGTTGGTGCTATTTTCACAATCATCTTCATGCTTCTGTTAGAACCTTCTATGTTAATTCTTTTCACATTTGCTACATAATTGTCACCTGCTTCCCCAACCGGATGAACGGTCACTTTGTCGACCTGAATATCTTGCTGGGAAATAATTTTACTCATGAACGCCAAATGGTGTTCGTTTAAATTTGAAATATCTCCTTCAAATTTGTACTCAGCCATTGTTGCTTTTGATACTGTTTTAGAATTTCCGTGTTCTTGTATTTATACTTCGAATAAAAAGATAAAATAAACAATTAATATAATTACAATTAATATAGATAAAAATTACGTGTATTTTGATAAGATAGGGGTTAATTTCCGCATAATCACCGTTACCTATAAAAATTGTCACAGCTTCCAGTTTATGATTGGAATTATTTATCAGAATGTCGAATGATGAAATAACTTATATTTTAACGTTATATGTTACTTGCATTTTAGTGTATAATATAACGTTTTATGAGAAATTTGTAGTTGGTTGCTATCTTTGTAGCCCCTTAGTCGGTCTTCAGCCTTGTGGTGGAAAATGGCCCCATTTTACTGTCATGCCTCGACATTGAATTGAACCAAACCAACCAACAAATAGATGTTTGATATATGATTCATTGGTGCAAAGTATACAGAAAAAAATTGCTCTCATAAAAAATACTATTATATAAGTGAGCTAGATAAAATTGTATAATGTGAAACATTTATAAGTAAAAATATTTAACTACTTAAAGAAAAGCTGAACATTTTATATAAAAACTGCAACTGTCAATCAAGTATTTCACCTTGCCAATAGCTAAGTGGTTGTCTATTAATCATGTGATGTTTTTTTGTGTGGGAATATCATCAAATCACTTCTCCCACCCAGGGTGAGGCAAGAGGAAGAGACAGACTCTTGTTGACTAAAAACACCCTCCGTACCTTCAACTGACCGAACCCCCGACCTTCCCACAAACACCGACTTCGTGATTGGTTTAATTCCATCAAAATGTCAACAAGCATATTTTATTTAATACCACACTTGGTTCTTTAAATAATATACATATGTAGTTAATACTCAATATTCAATAAATTTATTGCATTCCACAACGTGAGCTAAGGTACATAAGGTACGGTCTAGGACCAAAAGTGCAATTGCACTCTAGAAATGCGAAAATGTTTTAAATGTCTTTGTAATACAAGCTCGAGAATCTAAAAACCTGTCATTAATTACTTTAGGATCTATGCTACAAGTTTATAAGTCAAGGAACATCTAATACTCAACTATTCAAAAGCACTGGTAAAGTGCAATTTCACTTTTGACCTTCATTGTATATAAATACCTACCACTTATAATATATTACAAATACATTGCTTTCTGAAACCGGACGGGGAAAGCAAAATTGGATAGTAAAGACATTGGTCAAGCAAACATTTTATTTCAGCATCCAATGGGTTCCAACCACAAAGTAAGCTAGCTATCAGGCTAAAGTTCAACAAGAATTTATCTAATTCTGGATGGCAAAATTATCTAGTTGTAGAAATTCTCAAATTTCGGTTCAGTTTCACAATGTCAGTGGAGCCACTATGCAAGTATCAGATAAATTTGACTATAGGTTGTAATTTGTATGAACTTTGGGTCATATATATTTATAGATTAAGTTAAGTATACGTAGGTAAAACAGAGCCTTAGTTTGAAGGTCAGTACATACTTCTTCCAATAATAAAAGTTGAAGACCACAAGACCATGGACATCATAAATTGTGACGAATCGTAACAATGAATCACCCTATAAAAATGCCAAACAAAGAATTTTACGTTACGAATGTACCTCTTGCTTAACCTAAAAGAAAATTGTCGAGAAATAACTCTCAAAACAGCGTTGTAAAAACATCGTGGATGTGGGATAAACTGAATTCTCAAACCGTGAGAGGATAACGGTTTTAAAGGTTTTTGACGTTCTTGTGTGTCTCTCTCTAATGTTGGGGGTGTCCATTATCTATACCATCAATTATCTACGTGTTCTTAGCTACCTCATTCGATTAAATAATTAAATATCTATTAATCCTGATAAAGTCAAATCGCAGTCTCCAGCTTGCTTGGTTAAGCAATTATGGCAAAACATCCCACACGACGTAGAGAAGGCCACAGTCTAGCAAACATGGATAGTTTGCAATACCACTCTCTTATATATTTTCTTTGGCCTTTTCTCTTTCCTTATTTCATTCTTAAATTCTTGAAATACTATTTAGGATTAGGCAACAAAATAATATTGAGTCCAGAGGTTATAAAATTGTACAAGTCATTTCTTGATTTTATTTTAATACCTCATAGGTATTTTGAACTGGTGGAAACATGCACACAACGATGATATGACAATTTATGTTATCAGAAATTAATAGGTAATCGGTATTTTTATCTTGTGTTTATTTATCAACTCGTTTAAGTTTTGTTTTGCAATTGTTGTATTATTGTTTTTAGGTTTAATATCCGGCTTGTACTGTACACATACACATACACATTGTTTCCTTAGTCGAGACCATGGTGCGGAGTGAGAGGAACTGGGACGCCGCCGTCTCCTCCTTCTGTGAAGCAGTTATGCTAGCTAAGAGGGAGGCGGCCCGCGTGAGGGAGCAATCCTCCTTCTCACGCCCCAGCCGCCGCAATAGGCGACATTCCGGGCGTCGGGGATCGAGAGATGATCTCCGGCCATCGTAAGCGTGGGTCTGCAGTCGGCGAGTAAGGGCAGCTCGCCGCCCGACCAGAACCAGGTCCGAGCGTACGGCGCGCAGCGTTCCGCGCGCGCCTCAAAGAGCCATTAGACCACCTCAGTCGGGGCCCTATAGGGCTGATGTTCAGCAGGGGTTGCGGAGTAAGCGCAATGAGGCACCGCGACCTCGGCCCAGAGCAGGAGAAGGAACAGGGGAGTTTTTAGTCAGTAAGAGTCTGACACTTCCGAGAAGTCATTTGATGATTTTCCCCTCACAAAAAAAATACACATTGATTTTTAAATATATATTTTAAACTGTTAAGTGTTAAACGTATACACGGTGTTCCCAGAAGTATGAATCAAATCTAGCAACGGCATAGAGGATTTAATTAACGGTTATTTCGCGTTTCCTAACTTTATCACTGGGAATATTGGTGAAACTCTTAATGGATCAAAATTAAGGAATTATCAAGAATTATATTCAGTGAATTATCGTTATGCTTAGAGGCCAAAAAAAATATGCTGAGGTATAAAAGTAATTTTTATTTTAAAAATTTTATCTTATTACCTTAAACTTAACAGACGGATCAACATCCCTAGAAAAAACATAGCCACGTCCTTGATCAGTTTGATCCATAGTTGCACGGATACCCGTACAACAACCATCAAGTTATTTAATAACTCACAATTAGCAATTATCTAGTACATTAGGTCCTTAACAGATTCCAATTAGCCACTATTTGTGCTCCTTGGAGTTCATCTCCAACATACTTAGCACTAAACATAAACAAGTTTACATGATGTCAATTTTCATTCCCCATTTTCCAGTAAACCAAGTTCATTTAAACTGTTAATAAGATCCTGAATTCTCTTTCTAGTTCGAAGCAACGTATCAGTCTGAACAGCTTGATTCACCATTGATGTAGTGACTCCTTCTAAGCCATTGTCTACCATAGCTTCTTTAACTTTTACAGCTTCATTTGCGTCTCTCATCAGAAGATTTGCTAATACCAAAGACAACGAAAAGAGTAATTTGATATAGACTTTGATGTCAGCATCCAACTGTTCTCTTGGATACACCAGAGCTGTTTTTAGACCGAAATATGACAAAGATTTGTCTAACTCGGAATAGTAGTAGTTCAACCAGTTGTAGAAGTTCTTAGTTCTGGTCTCGTGGTCGGTGCAGTTCAAGGTCATGTAGAGAAAGTCGATGACTGGATTGCTGACCTTCGATAGTTGGTAGTCAATCATTATTGATTCTTCTAATTCATCGCCCTGAAATAAAAAGCAACGTAGTAAAATAAAAGATGTTGTTAAATAAAATGCATTTTCTTAAAGACTTGAAAAACATTGAAACTGTTTCATATATTTTAGTTATGTGTGTGTACCACAAGCCGCTCCATAGAAGGCACGAGACCACGAGACCGGTCTACCGAAACTACGAAGTCAACCGCAGTACTCGCAACGCTCAGAGTCGAAAAAAGTGGAAAGATATCGCTCATCGTGCTGCTCTTGAAGGGTTATGCATAACTTCAATATAATTAATACATAGATTGTCATTTATTATTAGTCTGAATATGTAACTATTAAACCTCAATAATAATAAATTAATGTAGTACTATTACGCAATAATATAGTTGTTTTGATGTTTTTATCGCTTTGACATTCAGCTCAACTTTACGAAACAATATGTACGAGTACTTACATTGAACTTGAACATAATATTGTTGGTCCAAGCATCGCCTTGTTGAATGATGGAATACAGATTATCCCAGTCCTTTGTAGCCTTTAAAATATTTTCAGGCAAACAACTAACAGTGTTTTTCACTACGTTTCTGTGTTCTTCTTTATCGAGTGTTGTCATAATTAATTTTTCGAGTCCCTGAAATTGTTGTGACACTCCGGGCAAATTAGCTCTGATAGCCCATACATTGTGCAATTTTTCTTTGTATGTTTCATACGTCTCTGGCTCTTGATGCTTCAGTACAAATGATAAAGAATGCAGAATTGCGTAATTCTTTAGAATGCTTTTCACACACTCATCAGACAGAGACTCAAATTTATTCAACATTTTAAAACTTGATTCATTCAAATCTTCTAATATTATAACTTCATTTGGAGCCTCGTTTAGAGACCCGTAACATTTTGCGAATTTTAGTTGTTCGTCTTTCGGCACTCCTGCTGCTTTCTGCAGTGACACTAGCTTAGGAAGCACCTCAGTGTACATAACGTGCTCATTGCCGAACAAAAATTCACTTAACGAGAATGCACGAACATTTTCATTTGCAGAAGCAATTTTCACAATCATCTTCATGGTCCCATTGTTACCCTCTATACTGATTCTTTTTACGTCAGCCATAAAATTGTCATCAGCTTTCCCAACTGGATGGAAAACCACCCTATTAACATTCAAGTTCTGTTTTGTTATCACTTCATTTATGAATTCTACCTGTCGATCACTAAGATTTTTAAAATTTCCTACAAAGTTGTAGCGTGCCATGTTCACAGCTTCTTAACTGAATGAAGTATTCTGTTTGTGTTTGGTTTATTTATAGCTAGTTGTATCATCAGCCGTACTATGTACTGGATCGTTTGCGATTTTTTGCTGATTAGATAATGCTTAAAGTCTCCCATTAACTTAATCTTATTGAGGTTTCATTCTAAAATTTACTGAAGAATCATAATGATTGGTGGGATTCTACAATTATTTACATTTCATGCTGAAATTTATTTTGTTTGATATTTTAAATGTGTTCCGTGTGATAGTTAACATTATTGATAAGTTTAAAAATAATCAATCAATGATTCTAGATTCATACATAATATTAATTTTCAATTTTAGCTTCACTACTCACAGATTACTAACTCAAAAATCCACTCCAAATCTAGATTCCTAAGTCCGATTTTTATAACCGACTAAACCGAAAATCAGTACAGAGAATAATATAAATATAAATTGTATATACTTATTCGGTTCAGTGTTTGTACTATTTGAACTGAAACCGCGTGGGGTCAGTTGGGTAAATGTAGTTCATGTGACTTTGAAGACCAAAACTGAAATGGAATTTAAGTAGGTAGTTACCTAACAGCATTCCATTTCAGTTATAGTATAACTACGTACTCCTGTGAAACTATTACCACAGAGCAAAATGTGAAGCAATTGAGTGTGTCAGAAATAGAAAGTTGTAAACTCTTTAGCTCTCCATGCTAACAAAAGGACCACCAGATGATCATTGGCCCTAGTGGGTATGGTACCCACTTGGGCCAAATACTACAGTAAAAGTGTCAATAAGTTGGCTATTAACATTGACAGTACGCTCAGTTGGTAAACTCAAGTTGCCAGTGAGAGTCAAAAGGGCGATTGCAGTCTTTGTATGGTCTCAGAATGGTGTTGCCTCCTAGCACTAAGGCAATTCTGGTAAAGACCTTATTCTACCTTGTCATCGAATATGGTTGTGGAATGATCATTGGCCCTGGTGAGCAACCTGACCACAAAATATGTGACCTACCAGGGCCAATGATCCGGAGCGCAAAAATGAGGGGAATTGTGTGATTTTTTGTCGGTTAGAGTCTGATACAATGTCTATTGCCAGCCAAGGCGGGAGAAAGTCATTCTACAGTTTACCTTGCTAAAAATGAACCTTATATTTTACGTAAAAACACAAAGTTACTACAGGTACTGCGTAAAAAACAAATAACAAAAACAACTGATTTCGATATTTTATTTTATTTGTATAAAACATTAAGTTATTAACCATTTTGTAACTTAATCAAGTATGAGCCGTGCTTACAAAAAATATCACGTCCAATACTTAACGAACTAAAAATTACAATTAAATCTTGAATTGGTCACTCCTTACAACCTAAACACCATATATATTTATACCGTTATAGTAACCCAAATTGGGTAAAACTTTCAAGTATTCCTACAATTCGCTTTTTAGCACGAGCAGCAGTGTCTTTAGGCAATTCAATATTTGCCATTGCTTCTATAGCATCTTCCATTTTACCATTGTTAAGGCTTTCCATCATCTCTGCAGCTTCTTCCGTATTTCTAGTGAAAAGATTAGTCAACATAATAGATAGTCCAAATATCAATTCGCTATATTTCTTTATATCTTCATCTAATTTTTTTCTAGGGTAAACTAAGTTAGCTGTTAATTGAAAGTAGGACAAGGAACGGTCTAATTCTGAATGGTAATAGTCTACCCAGTCATAATAGTGCTTTGACCTCGTCTCGTGGTCGGTGCAATTAAAGATCATGAAGAGGAGATCCATAACAGGATTATTGTTCTTCGATGCTTGGTAATCAATCATAATTGATTCCTTCAGCTTTTGTTCCTGTAAATAAAAGGGAAATTAAACACTCATTCAAGCTTAGTAAAATTGCGAGTGTGAATTTATTAACGAGGATAATAAATTAAAATGGAAATTGTTTCATTAGTATATAACAATAATTGACATCACGTGGTGATAGAGCTCTACTGTTAAAAGATATCTGTGTTTTTGTGTGTGCCAACGAAAATAAAGTACAACCAAACTTATAAATGAATCAAACACTCACCTCAAATTTGAACATTATATTATTCGTCCACGCATCACCTTGTTGAATAACCGAGGATTCATCAGTAAGAGCGTCCTCCGATAGCTTGAGCATCAGTTTAAATACATTCCCAAGTTTACTTTTAATAATATTTTTATGTTCCTCATTGTCAAGAACTGATAAAATGATAACCGTGCCATTTTCAAATTGTTTTGTAAGTAATGAATTCCTAGCCATGATATCCCATACATCGATTAATCCGTTTTTAAACTGATTGTATGTTTTTGGTTCTTTCGCTTTCAACACGAACGAAAGAGAATGGAGCGTTGCAAAGTCTTTAAGGATGCTCTTTACACACTCGTCAGTAAGGGACTTAAATTTATCCAACATTACAAATCCTGAATCATTCAGATCTTCTAACATTATTATTTCATTAGGTGCTTCACTCAGAGCTCCAAAGCATTTTGCATATCTTAGATGTTCTTCTTCTGGTACTCCTGCTGCTTTTTGTAGCGCTACTAGCTTAGGTAGCACTTCTGTGTACATAAGGTTCTCATTGTTAAAGGAAAATTCTGTATTAGTTCCCTGACGAACAAAATCATTTTGGGAGGCTATTTTCACAAACATCTTGAGGCTTCCATTTTCTCCTTCTATGTGAATTCTTTTAACGCTTGCAACAAAATTGTCGCCAGCTTTCCCGACTGGTTGGAAAACTATTTTCTTAGCATTCAAACCTTGTTCTTCAATCACTTCACTGATAAACTGTATTTGGCGTTCGTTTAAATTGCCAACATCGCCTTCAAAGTTGTGTTGTTCCATTTTAATTTACTCTAAACTGAAGTTTGGATTGACACTGCAATTAATTTATAGTGATTTGTTATATCTATATCTATACAATTTGTTTTATCATAGCGTTTAAAGATAAGATAGCAGTGTTGTTATTTCTTATGTCGTAAATATTATGTCTTATTTTTTATGTCTTAAAGTCAGTACTGCAAACATTTTTGGTATACTCTTCATACATTCATCAGAAATCATCATCAGAATATACCTACCACAATAAAATAATTTAACTTGGTGTTTTGTTTAGACATGTGTAACATTTTGTGTATATTAAATATTATTTTTCTGGTACTCCTTCTGCTACAGTGATACCAGCTTAGGAAGGTCCCCTTAAAACATGATTTACTCGAATAATTTCTGTTTTAAGAGTGATTTTGACAATTATCTTCATTTTTCTATCTTAACGTGACAAGAATAAGCTTCAATGCTTAAAGTTAAGCCTTTTCAAAAGTATGGAAGAATTTTATTCCTGCGTATCTTCTTCAAAGCTGAACTGCGCGACTTTTGCTAGTGGTCGTTTATCGCTCAATGAGAGGCATTAGTCAATATTAAAGTACTAACTTCTCTCGCGCGGTTTCACCCGCTGCTCGGCTCCATTTAATTGTAGCGTAATGTTTTATAGCCTATAGCACTCAGGAACATTGTAGCTATCTATCAATGAAAGAATTTTGGCAATCGGACCAGCGGTTCCAAAGATTACTCCCTACATACAAATTTTACCTCTTTATAATATTAGTATAGATGTACCTTGTACATTACTTCGATAATTTTCTGAAGGGCTTAGAATAAATAAACTAATAAATAGGCTTAGAAGTCAATCGTAATTTCTTTACCTATTCGAATAAAATGATAATTCATTAAATGTCTGTTGTCAACACCCAAAAATGATTTGAAGAAAATTTGCATTCTCATGATGATATTTACTTGACAAATCTACTGGGTTTCCATCAATATATGTACTATTTTACGTAGCATGAAAATATTAGTATCTTATCAATTTAATCAAAATGTTTCATAACGATTCATAAATCATTATTAATGATTAATTTTAAGTTGGATTTTGTTCATTATTCTCAAATGTTTGACATGTATAACAATATAAAACGCATTGGGTGTACACTTGTAAAGATTATATTGTAAACTTTTAAATAAATAAATAAATAACTTGTTGATCAGTAATGAGCGGTATGTTTGTTTGCTGGAGGTAAACTTTGAAATTCCTCTATCGGTTTTTATAATTCTGATAAAGAGTTAAAACAACGACATCTATAATACGTTATGAGAACTACAATTTAATGTTGTTTGTATATAAAATATAGGGGTCAGTACTGGGTGTTGTAGTGGCCTTGCCGACACATTTGTATGTTAAAAGTCTGCGGTAATTTGTTTTTTAACTATATGATGACTATAATGGCTAAAAACTCAATAACTTCATACTTTTCGATATTACAAGCCTTACAATATGAACCTATCTAAAAGTGGGTCTTTTAGATAGGTTCATATTGTTTGAGTCCCATATGATAGGGAGTGAGACTGTTGCCATTCACCAGAATTCGACACGAATGGGTTGGTTCAACCGTAGTGATACCACGGCCTCACAGAAAATCAGCGTGAAATAACTACATCGTTGGGTTTACCGGGCCCGCTGTCATAGCAGCGTGTTAAGACCTCTTTTTAAACAGAGGCTGGAGAGACGCCGCGGCATCCCCACCTTCCACCTGACGCATGTGCTTACCAGGCACGGAAACATTGATAGGTGCCTAATCGGATCCAGCTGGAGAAAACGTCTAGTGTCGTCATTTTAGGACACGGTGGAGCATACGGTAGAGATGTGTCCTGCGTGAACTGAGCAGTGCCGTGAAAAGATTCTCAGAGAAAGATTGGGCACGGTAACCTCTCGTACCGATGCCTTAATCGATGGTGCAGAGTGAGAGGAACTGGGAAACTCTTTCTGCGAAGTGGTGATGCTCGTAAAAAAGGAGGCGAAGCAGGGAGTTGAGTTCCGTGAGCCTCTAAGAGCCAATAAACCACCATTAACGGTCCGTTATAGGACCGATGTTCAGCCGGGGTAGCGGGGTAAGCGCAATGAAGCACCGTGGCCTCGGTCTAGAGCAGGATAAGTCATTTCATAATGACAAAAAGTCTGATTTTTTTTCTTTGTTATTTTACGTAGCATTGATATGGAATGTCTGTGCTAATTCGATTTTGAACTATATAATATACACTGGAAGAGGTACAAATACAATGGACCACCCAGTTTTAGTTTGTTTCTTTTATAAATAATTCCGTTATAAATAATTTATTTGTCCTATAAAATAGGGCTGGAGCCTATTTCCATACTCTAGACTTAAGTAGAGATTTGGGTGAGCCAAGCTTCAGCACGAATGGGTTGGCTCAACCGTAACGATACATGGCCTCACAGAAAACCAGCGAAATAACTACAACGATGTGTTTCGCCGCATGAGTTGTGTTGCTGGTGTTCACAAGTGGAGCCCATTGCTTACCATCAAGTAATCCGTATGATAGTTTGCTGATTACCCACAAAAATAATTGCTATAACTAACTGAGCAATTTCTGAAAAACTGAAATAACTTGCCTGGCTGGGAAATCAAAACTAATATTACCCCTTGCAAATATTCTTCATGACGATCCAGAATTGTAAAGGTAAGACTCTAGGAGTACAAAATTCAATATGTACTACTTTGAGGTCTTCTCTAATAATAAGCTAATAGTAACTTTAACATAAAATATGAAGACAAATATTGCATATCATGAAAAAAGCAAACCATATTACGCAGTTAGGTAGATTTCTAGATCAAAAAAAAATTAATTACTTTTTAATACAGTGAATTATTAAAATACAATCATGCTTTCATTGATTTAACGACATGCTTAATATTAGATTTTATCTAGTTAACTTTATAAAATACATGAGTATTTGAGCTGTCTGCCGTAAAAACATTATGACGTCATATACCTATTGCAATCTCAAACAAATTTCATAGAAAAGTATCGTTTAAGTATTCAATTTGACTAGTTGGGAACTTCCGAATTATAATTTGACATTTATAAAACTCATTGTTACATCCAATGATATTTTAAGTAAAAAGGTTTAGATATATTTAACTCACTCAGCGAGTTACACATTAAAATATGCCTAACTAGCCACGCTTTTTCCATATTTGTCTCTTTTTGACTCGCGATTATTGAATCATGCTATCTCACTTTGACGTCTAATCATATTAGTTATTCATATGAGCGTATATGTGCAGTTTCTGAAGATCGAATCTAGTTTATGTAACCTATCTACACCATTTTACTTATAATACTTACTCATTGGTTACATCAGTGATGCGATTATTATTAATTTTAAAACAAACCAAACTCTGTGAAGCTAACAATAAGGTCTATAATTTTCTTCCTCGCACGGATTATAGTTTCGTGTTGAAGTACTTGGCTACCCATGGACTCCATCAATTCCTTCATATCAGCTGTAGTCTTCATAGCTTCCATTATTTCTGATGCTTCATTAGTATCCCTCATTAAAAGATTAGCCAACATCACTGACACTCCAAACATTAGCTTGCCGTATCTCTTAATGTCAGCGTCTAGTTGATCCTTTGAGTAAATGTAGTTGGCTTTTAGACCAAAGTTAGATAAAGAATTTTCCAATTCCACGTGGTAGTAGTCTATCCAATCGAAGAAGTGTTTGGCTCTAGTTTCATGGTCGGTGCAGTTGAAAATAGCATAGAGAAGATCAGCTACTGGGTTGTTGTTCTTCGATCCTTGGAAATCGATCATGACTGTTTGCACTTTGTCTTCCTGGAAATAGAAGATGAACAGAATGTGAATGATGTTGTGAGTAATATGTTCAAATGTTTGATGCAATTCAAGTGTGCTAGTGCATTGAGTGATGTTTTGGCATAAATAGGCCGACTAAACAAGTTTAATACTACGACTTTACATAAAACTAGCGTGATACTATCCAATCCCAATTTCTAACAATGTGCAAAGGCCGACAGAATACTTATAGCTCACTTCTTTGGTGTTGAAGGGTTTCCATGGGCGGAGCCCAATGCTTACTATCAGGTGATCAGTGTGCTCATAATGCTGACCAAAAAGTGTGATTGTAAAGGACATCACTTAGTATCACATAGTTTAGTATCAGTTCAGAAGTTCTAAATGTTTAAATATTGAAATTTGATAGATAATTCTATCAAGAAGATACATCGTCGTGGATTAAATCGTTATAACATTTTTAGAGCAAGAAAATACATTAAAAATAATAGCATTATTTTTCTGTGTACCTTGATATTTATCAATGACTTTAAAGTTAAATCGGTTTATTATCGAAGAGATTACAGTGTACATGCTAATGGCAGCGGCAGCGGCAGCTATATATTTACACAACAAATTTAAAAACATCAAATTTAGTCTCTTTTTTGACCATAAAGCAAAAAGTGGTATAAAATCATCCAAAAAGTTGATTCATCTAGACAAATTTATAAAAGAACTAATCATATTTGTCATTAGAATTATTTTAGATTCTCACGAAAAGCTATTATAAAAATACTTACCCCAATTTTAAACATGATATTGTTTGTCCACGCATCGCCTTGTTGAATAACAGAATGTTTATTATTCTGTTCCCATTTATTTAATTTTGTCATTAAATTAAACACGTCAGCAAATTTATTTTTCACAATATTTTTATGTTCTTCTTCTTCCAGCAATGCTTGGACTGCCATAACAAATACTTCAGTTTGTGTTTTGAATACTGGGTTTTCTGCCATTAAACTCCATACATCTGTCAATTGGCTTTTATAATATTCGAATGTGTCTGGCTCTTTGTGCTTTAGCGCGTACGAGAGAGAATGGAAAATTGCGAAGGTTTTGAGTACACTCTTCATACATTCATCTGACAGTGATTCAAACTTGTCCAACATAACGTAATCTGACTCGCATAAGTCTTCCAAAATAATGATTTCGTTAGGCGCTTCAGTGAAAGATCCGTAGCATTTAGCAAATCTTAGAAGTTCTTCTTCTGGCACGCCTGCCTCTTTTTGTAGGGACACCAGCTTAGGTAGCAGTACCACATACATGAAATGTTCGTTTTGAAATACTATATCAGAGAAGAACGTCATGCGTTGAGCTTCTCCTTGAGGTGCTATTTTAATAATCATATTCATGTTTCCATTGTTACCTTCTATTCTTATTCTCTTCACATTTGACGCAAAATTATCACCAGGCTTCCCAACGGGAACAAACACCACTTTATTGACATCTAAATTTTGTTCTTGAACCACTTTATTGATAAAATCCAATTGAGCTTCTGTTATATTTCCAAAATCACCTTCAAACTTGTATTGAGCCATGATTAAATGGATGGAAGCTAATTTATTTATGATTATTTAATCTTGATAAAATGTTTTTATATGCCGTCTGTATCAGTAATGAATCGTATGATGAACCATTTAACGCAATTTGATTAGATAATGCTTTTTTGTTAAATAACCGTTGCTAATGGTTTGATTGTTGAACATTGCGTTGTTTTGTTTATAAATAATATTTAACATGTTTTTTATTATATTAAACTTTCACCTTACGCACGTACCCCGAAACGTCGTAACGTTGAGAAAATAAGTATTGAGGTCTTTGAAAGTGATGTTTGGGTCCTCCGACGACTCTACCATGACAACTTTATGAACAGCAAAACAAAGATATCTAATGTGTTCGCCATCCATATTGATGCCAAGTCCGCTTCAGTTCAAGTGCTTCAAAACGTCCTCTATAGCGGTCGTGGTGAAGATGACTCTATTGACATTTAAATCCTGTTGTACTACTTTATTATCTAATCAAAATACAATGAAAAACATATTTATTGTTTAAAAAAACACGAATAAAGGATTTGGGATTTTCCTGCAGGTAATTAAAATTTAAAGGATGCCTAATATGTGGGTATGCATATTTTATGTGATACGACGGCAAACGGTTTACCTGATGGTAAGTTATCAGCGCCGCCAATGGACAGTAGACACCCGCACCAACGGAAGAGTTACGAGTTTTTAGGGATTAGGGTTTGGCGATTTAGATATTGGGGGAGAGTAAGAAATGGGCTTCCATTAACCTCACTCACACGGCGAAATACGAGGAGTTTTAAGATCTGTGTTAACTGTCAACTTATTCTAATATTACCAACACAGCGCTGATTTTTCAATGGTTAGATAAAAGTTATCTAGGGAATATTTATGACAGATATTTATGTTTGAATTTTTGTATAAGACAGTGACAGCAACAACTACAAATTTGTTGCTGTCTTTCTTCTTCTTCTGTCATTGTTGCTTTCAATCGTTTTGTAAATAGTTCATTTTGTGGTAAAATAGATACAAACCAAATTCCATTCTAGCGCGTCTTCGTTTATGCAATATTTAGGAATAACGTTAGCATGGTTTGAAAATTTAAACCCAATTTCTTTCCTCAGTATTTGCGCACGTGAACGGTCACGATGTCACAACTTATAAGGTACATTGCAAAGATATTAAGTACGTTGCTAACGATATGATATCTTTTATGTCCTAAAATACCGCAGATAGTACGAACAAAAACGTGAGATACGGTTATCTATTTAAGATCAAACTTCCTTATCACTCAAATCCTTCCAAGATTATGTCACTTCAAATGTTTTGTTTTCGGAGTTTGATCTATTGATAAGTTTAGATAAGATAGTGATTTGCGGAAAAATGACGAATACCTGTAAAAACTTCAGAAGTGTCATCATCTTTTTATTTATATTTACTTTATTGTACACATAATGCTATATAATGCTCAATCTACTTCAAATTTTTTAATTATTTTTGTTTAAGTAGACGCATTAAATGCATAACTCTAGCTATCCTAAGGACTCTGCAAAAATATGAAATCAAAACACTATTTGCAAATCAAATTTGAAATAAAACATGACCAAATAATAATTAGCAATAAAAATATGATAACAAAAACCAACCTTATTTCAAATAATTAAAATAATGTAGTCAAAATACTCAGATTGCTAATTCATATTATTTTACAATAAGCCAAATTCTATGTAAGAATCAATAAGACCCACAATCCTATTTCTAGCTCGTTCTGAAGTTTCTTTGTTCATTTTTTTACGGCTCATTGTTTCCATTGCTTCTTTTATGCCACCATTTTGTAAGGCTTCAAGTAATTTTGCTGCTTCACCTGCATCCCTCATTAGAATATTAGTAAAAAGAATGATTATAGCAAATGATATTTTGGCATATCTCTTAATATCAGCATCCAGTTGTTCTCTTGGGTAGATATCTTCGGCTTTAAGATCAAAATATGATAAGGAATTATCCAATTCTGAGTAGTAATAGTCTATCCAAGTGATGAAATTCTTGGACCGAGTCTCATGTTCAGTGCAATTGAAGAACATGAACAGAAGATCGGAAGCAGGACTTGTACTTGCTGAAGCTTGGTAATCAATCATTACAGACTCACGCAACTCACCCTCCTAAAATAAAAAACATTATTATTACCAGATTTGCTTATTATAATTTGATTCTATACAACATTATGCTAGTACTTTGTAGGGTATAACCATTATCACCAAATTGGATTGTTGAATTTGGAATTCAACAGGATCAGGCAAAAATATTTAAATCTACTTTTAACTAATATTTATCATCAGCCCTTAACAACTGCCGAGTAAAAGCTTTTTCAGAATTTTAGAAAGAAAGCAACGATCGTCATGCTCGCTCGAAAAAATTGGCGATTACAATTTTTTTAATTTTCGATCGTGTTCTTTACCGTCTTTGGTGTTTAAATAGCGTTAGAAAGTACGTTAAGCGTTCAGTTAGTACTGGTCAGGTTTTGACCATGCATGAGAAGCAGTCACCTCAGCCTCACGGCTAACAAATTTGTAGGAACTATTATAAAATAATAATAATTACCAAAATTAGGACTCACCTCAAACTTGAACATAAAATTATTCGTCCAAGCATCGCCTTGTTGAATGACGGAATATTTACTATATTTGTCCTTTAATAACTCTTCTATTTCCTTATCTACATCAGTCAGCATATTTTTCAAAATCTCTTTTTGATTGTCGTCGTCGAGTATCAATGAGTTCACTTTTATAAGCATTTTGAACTGAAGATTAAAATCATGATCTTTATATTTGGGTTCCCATGTGTTTTTCAATTTACTATTGAAGATATCATAAGTTTCTAGTTCTTTATTTTTCAATACAAACGCAAGAGAATGGAGTATTGCAAAGTTTTTCAGTATACTCCGTAAGCAATTTTCCGGCAGAGGATCGAACTTATTTAACATCTTAAAATCTGATTCATTTAGGTCCTCCAAAAGGATAACTTCATTAGGCGCTTCATCTAGAGATCCGTAGCATTTTGCAAATCTTAAATGTTCTTCTTTTGGCACTCCTGCTTCTTTCTGTAGTGCTAATAACTTGGGTAAGACCTCCGTATACATAACATGCTCATTTTTGAACATTAAGTCTGTGTTCAAAGACGAACGAAGAACTTCTTTAGCTGGTGCAGTTTTAATGATCATCTTTAGATTTCCATCTTTAGCTTCTACGGTGATTCTTTTTACATCAGATATGAAATTGTCACCAGCGTTCCCCATACGATTAAATATCACTTTTTCAACTTGTAAATTTTGCTTTGCAATTACTTCATTGACGAACCCTAGTTGTCGTTCGTTTATATTGGTAACATCACCTTCAAACTTATATTGAGCCATATTTGTTTGTATATCTTACAGTTCGTTCGTGCGAAAAACTTTCACTTATGATTTACGAGTACGTTTTAGTTTATATAGATTCGTTGTATCTTTTATTATCTTAAAATGTTTTGTATTTTCATAAAGATTAGATATCTGTTTTTTCAAGTCATTGTTAATATTGATTCTGCTCTCTGTTAACCTAGCTACATTAATTCGACTAACTTTTCATGTTTGAACAAACTATGTACAAAGACGCTTACTAAAAATCCTGAATATTTAGTAATATAAATAATACCTATTCACTTGTTAGACTGTGACAGTGCAGAAGGAAAAACAATGCCACACGTAGGGAGAGGAAGTGCTTATAATGAAAAAAAAACAAATGAAAAATATTTTTGTATTAAAATTTAATCATAATTTTACTGTATCATAAATCTTATTTTTAAATAATCAGTTACACACGTGTTTACTTGTGTTACATCAAATCAAATTGTGTAAAAGCCTAGGTAGCTCCCTGTACACTCGATTCCACTTCCACTCTGACAGTTATCTCCAAACTTCCATCGTTGCTGATTCTCTTCACATCAGACATACAATTTTAACCAAGTTTTGCAAATTGTGTTTTGGAATAACTTTCTTATTGAACCCCGATCAGCGTTCTCTTAGAATAGAAAATTCACCTTCGCACTTAAGGAACTTACAAATGAGTGGAAGTGAAGTTACATGTATCATTTTATATTAGGTTTGCGTAGATTTATCTTATATTAAAAATATGATTATTCACGTCACGGAAACTGATATATTTGATTCTAAAAAATAAAAATAAGTCATAAGAAACACTCACACGTTTTATTTATATCAAACCAAATTGTATATAAGTTTCAATTAAATCTAAAAGCCTTTTTTTAGCTCTGCCATACGTTTCCCCTTGCATTTCATTTTTACTCATATTTTCTAATTGTTCTTCGAAACTACTAGTTTTAAGGGCTTCTTTCATCGCTGCAACTTCATTTGTATCTCTCATTAATATATTAATGAAAAGAACTGTAGTAGCAAACACTATTTTTCCAAATCTCTTTATGTCAGCATCTAACTGATCTCTTGAGTATGTGTAGTTAGCTTTGAGGCCGAAATTGGATAGCGATTTGTCTAATTCTGAGTGGTAGTAGTCTATCCAGTCGTAGAAGTTCTTAGACCTAGCTTCGTGGTCGCTGCAGATGAAAATCAGGAAGAGAACATCGGTCACTGGGTTATGGCTCGTTGAAGCTTGATAGTCAATCATCACTGATTCACGCAAGGCACCCTTCTGCGAACAAAAAATGCAAGTGTGGTCAAAGATAAAAAAAATAAATTTTCTGTCCCAATTTTTTTGCATCTTCCCATGGAGTTATCTTATAAGTAGATGATTTCTTATAAGAAGAAAATGATTATAACATGTAAAATTGTATTTCTCTCTAAAACCTAATGTGACGGTCCAATTTATATGGTTTGAACCATATTATGGACAAAAGCTACATTTATGATTCATTTCTTCTATTACAAAAATGTTCCCACCTCAAATCTGAACATAAAATTATTTGTCCAAGCATCACCTTGATGAATAACGGAGAATCTACTATCGTTTTCTTTGGAAAACTTCAGCACTTCTTGAACAATATTCGTTAATTTATTCTTTACTATATTTTTCTGAGTGTCATTGTCAAGTAATGGTAAGACCGAGTTTAAAAGCATTTCAAACTGCATTTCAAAATTGGGGTCCTTAAGACGAGTGTACCAGGAATCCTTCAATGTGCCAGTGAAGAGATCATAAGTTTCTGGCTCTTTATTTTTCAATACGTATGAAAGAGAATGGAAAATAGCAAAGTTCTTTAATATGCTTTTTATACACTCTTCAGGTAACGGCTCAAACTTATTCAACATTTCGAAGTTTGATTCATTTAGGTCTTCTAAAATTAGCACTTCATTTGGTGGTTCGTCTAGAGATCCGTAGCATTTAGCGTATCTTAGACATTCTTCTTCTGGTACTGCTGCTGCTTTCTGCAGCGACACAAACTTAGGTAGCACCTTAGTGTACATAACGTGCTCATTAGCGAATAGTAACTCAGTACCTGCGGCTAAACGGATAGCTTCAAACGCAGGTGCCAATTTAACAATCATCTTCAAGCTTCCATGATTACCTTCGATACTAATTCTCTTCACATCTGACATAAAATTATCACCAGCTTTTCCCACCGAACTGAATACCACTTTATCAAATTGAAAATTTTGTTTTAAAATCACTTCGTTGATGAACTCAAGTTGTCGTTCGTTTATACCGGAGAAATCGCCTTCAAACTTATATTGGGCCATATTCGTTGCTGTAGCTAATAACTTATAAATAATTATAATCAGATTTTTTATTTATATAGAAGTGTCCCTATCTTGTCAAATTGTGGTGATGCAATTTTAGTATTTTAGATTAGATATAATAAAATAATCAGAATTACACATTTTCCAGTCATAGCGTAATTTATATTGGCATCAGATATTAACAAAGTTTTGTAATAATAATACCAAATGTAAGGAAACTCTATTATTTCTAAAGATGTTCCTTAGGTTGATTCCTTTTTTTGATTTACACACTTTTCAGTCCGTCCTTGTTGGCATTGCAGCTCATGAATATGAGTCTCGTCGTAAATTGAAACAAGTAGGTCGTTTATCAGTTAAAACACGTGACTAAGTCGTAATTTTTAGAAAAAATAGTAAAAAAAATTACATTTTTATCTAAATACTTTGTTTTATTTAAAAAAACCCAAAAGGCAAAAGGTTTGCTTCTAATGATTTTCTTTCTTTAAGCTAGTATGCGTTAAGGGATTGAAAAAACTGAATGTCGATTCAACCGACCAAGTCTGACTTAAAACTGGATTGGAACCTATGTCCAATAATTGGCCGATAAAAATCAAGGGATCAATACTAAATATCAAACCTGACAGCAACCTTAAGTAAATAATTGAGAAATTGTTATACGAAAATAAAACAATACAATAATAACAATTTAATTTAATTGAACATAAAAACAACTATCAGGTACAAGGACCTATCCCGCGTCCCAGCTCGGAAGGAGGGGTAGTTTTTAGTCAGTAAGAGTCTGAGAATAACTGTTCCCAACCAGGACATTATATATATATATATATATATAGTCATTATATATATAGTCATTGAAAAAACTACTGCTTTCCTTCTCCTGCTCCAAGCCGAGGCCGCGGCACCGTATTGCGCTTGCCCCGCAACCCTGGCTGAACATCGACCCTGACAGGTCTGGGGCTTAGGTAACTTCTCTAAAAGTATTATTATGTTTAATATAATATTATGTTTAATTGGTTTTATCGAAATATTACTTAAGATTAATTTGTCTAGATCAGTTTAGGCGTTTGAAAATTATCTATAACTTATATTATGTTTTATTAAGCTGCTTTCTATTTACAATAATCCAAATTGACTAAAGGTATCAATGAGGCCTACTATCCTTTTTCTAGTACGAAGAACAGTTTCCTCTTGTAAAGTTTGAGTTCCCATCAATTCTAGTACATCATTTGGATCACCACTCTTAAATGATTCTAACATTTCTCCAGCTTCTTTTGTATCTCTCATTAAAACATAGGTCAACATTGCAGATAGGCCGAATGAAATTCTGCCATATCTTCTTAAGTCTGCGTCCAAACGATCTCTTGGGTAGATATAGTTGACTTTCAAGTTATAATGAGATAGGCATCTCTCTAACTCAGTATGGTAATAGTCTATCCAGTCGTAGTAGTACTTGGACCGGGTTTCGTGGTCGGTGCAGTTGAAGATCATGTAGAGGATGTCACCTACTGGATTGCTGATTTTGGATCCTTGGTAGTCAATCATTACTGACTGTTCTAACTTTTCCTCCTGTAAAAGAACAGCATTTGGTAATAGGTAAAAGCTTTAAGTTTTTTTTGGTTACCCACTGAAATAATAACAATAAAGACTATCACTGACGTGGCCACAGACGTAAAATGATGTCACGAGATCTAAATATTGTCGATCATCGTCTATTGTATCAAAACCAGTATCAACAATATTAAACAGCAGTAAATGATACCACTTATCTCATAATAATATAAAATTTGTCAACGAGTAAAAATAATACACTAAATATATAAGCAAATCGATTGAAAATGAAATCAAATTGAATCGAGATAATGACGATACAAGTATATAGGATTCCTATATTTGATTTTATTTCACGCTTTTCACGCTTAATATAAATTTCGACATACTCACCGAAAACTTAAACATAATATTGTTTGTCCAAGCATCGCCTTGTTGTACGATAGAATATTTGCAATCTCTATCCTTGGCTAACTGAATTGGCAGTTTCAGAATATCCATAAAACTGCTTTTGAACTTAGATTTGTGATCCTCTTCCTCGAGATTAGCCAACATTGAACTCTCAAGTAATTGGAAGAAAGCTTTAGCCTCAGCTGTCGAAAAATTTATGCTCCAAACATCAATCAATTTTCTTTTGAAAGATTCGAATGTTTCTGGTTGTTTCTCTTTCAATGCATAGGACACAGAATGCAGTATTGCAAAGTTTCTTAATATGCTTCTGACACACTCATCTGATAGAGAGTCGAACTTGTTCAACATTTTAAAATCTGATTCATTTAAGTCTTCCAATAATATTATTTCATGTGGTGCTTCATTGAAAGAGCCATAACATTTGGCGTATCTAAGATGTTCTTCTTCTGGTACTCCTGCTGCTTTTTGAAGTGCCACTAGCTTAGGTAATACCTCAGTATACATTACATGTTCATTATGAAACAAATATTCAACTTTTACAGTCGTACGAGTCTTTTCATCTTCAGGTGCAATTTTTATAACCATTTTCATGTTCCCATTTTCTCCTTCTATGCTGATTCTCATCACGTTAGCAACGAAATTGTCTCCAGCCTGACCGACTGGTTGAAACACTACTTTATTTACTTGTAAGCCTTGTTCTTCTATCACATTGTTTATAAACTCTTTTTGACTCTCGCTCAAGTTACCGAAATTTCCCTCAAAGTTATACGGAGCCATATTGATGTTGATACTAATAACAAATAACTGGTGAGCTTTATTTTATATGAGCTGCTCGTATCACCAAGGTTTTGATGCTGATAAGATAATATTTAATTAATGTAGGGCGAATAAGGTTACATTTCTCATACGATCTGGTTCAAATGGAAATAGATGCTAGACGTTTTCAAGAACTTGCCCCTCAAGAAAAGGAAGGCAGTCAAGAATTGGGTGGAGTTTCATAATTTGTATTTATTATTATGAAATAAAATAGAAAAAATCCAATTTATTTATCAATAACAAATGGATGGCCTCGTTTTTAAATAAAGTGATTAAGACAATCACTTGGATGGATAAGCGTATCTGTTAAGTTCATTGACCTAATTATTTCAAATCAGTAATAGAATTTCCGCCAGAATATGATGGTTTTTGTTTAAAATAAAATAATATACATAGTCTGGCCATAAATACTGTTACAATTAAAAATAAACAAAATATTACATTTGAATTTGGAAATTGTTCAATATTTTGCGATATTAAAATGGAGTGGGGTGATAAAGAGAACCGAATCGCTGTGATTGCATTACACAAAGTGGGTATGGAGCCAAATGCAATTTTTAAAACTCTCCACACGCTTGGCATTAGTCAAATGTTTGTGTACCGGGCTATGAATAGGTACAATGAGACCTCCTCTGTTTGGGACAGAAAAAAGATCTGGCCGTCCACGTAGTGTTCGTACGAAAAAGGTGGTCAAAGCAGTAACGGAAAGAATTCGAAGAAATCCTGTCCGAAAGCATAAGATTTTGTCCCGGGAGATGAACATAGACCTAGAACCATGTCGCGTATTTTCAAAGACGACTTAGGTACGCACAGGGAGGTCACAGAAAAATTTTGTTTACGGATGAGAAATTTTTTACAATTGAACAACCTTTTAACAAACAAAATGGCCGTATTTATGCTCAAAGCTCGAAGGAAGCTTCTCAATTAGTCGACAGAGTGCAACGTGGGCATTATCCGACTTCAGTGATGGTTTGATGGCGTGTTAGCTATGAAGGAGTGACTGAGCCACACTTTTGCGAAAAAGGTATCAAAACATCGGCACAAGTATATCAAAATACCATTCTTGAGAAGGTAGTTAAGCCCCTTAACAACACCATGTTCAATAACCAACAATGGTCCTTCCAGCAAGACTCGGCGCCGGGTCATAAAGCTCGGTCCACGCAGTCTTGGTTGGAAACGAACGTTTCCGACTTCATCAGAGCTGAAGACTGGCCGTCGTCTAGCCCCGATCTTAATCCGCTGGATTATGATTTATGGTCAGTTTTAGAGAGTACTTAGGGCTTGCTCTAAACGTCATGATCCACAGATGACACAATCCATGACATGATCCGCACATGAAACAATCCATACGATTGGCAGTGAAGAATTTTCCCATGGAAAGAGTGCGTGCCTCTATTGATAACTGGCCTCAAAGTTTAAAGGACTGTATTGCAGCCAATGGAGACCACTTCGAATAAGCTTTTTATGTTTTAAACAATTTAAAACATAAAAAGCTTATTCGAAGTGGTTATATTTATGTATTAAACTTACATTCTGTAAAAGTAATAAATGTTATTTACAATAGAAAAATATTTTTTTATTTGTTACAGTATTTATGGCTAGACTGGGTACTTTGTGTGTGTCGTCATTTTATTCAATCGCTAAAGAGAGTATTTTTTGCTTTGCTTTAATTGGCATAATCTTCTTCAGCTTATAAAAAAATCTTAAGTCTATACTATTATTAATATTTATTAATGTATGTTACAATTAATAATTAAAAAATGTAATAATTAAAGACAGCTTAGCATTAGCGTGGAATTTAAATTTTCAAACGAAATTTATCAACTTTTTACAAAGTTCTCTAATCTTCTTTCAGCTGTAACTTAACATTTCTTTTTATGGGCGAAGAAAATCTTCAAATGGCTTCTTCAACCCTAGGTGCGCAAATATCAGACGATAACTAAATGTTAATCATTTCTAACTCTTTTGTTGTGCAGTGGCCGCGATACTTTATTGCGCTTACATCGGTACTTCGGATATCGGCCCAAGTGCATCTTCGTGGCCCTTGGGTTTAGTTCTAGCAGACTTGCACAACATACGGGAGATTTTTTTTTTGTCAGGGGAAAATCATCAAATGACTTATATTGACCTACCTACTCTGGGCCGAGGTCGCGGTGACTCATTGCGCTTAACCCGCAACCCCGGCTGAACATTTGCCCTATAGGGCCCCATCTGTGGTGGTATATCGGCTAAAACAGGAGATCTAAGTTGGATATTAGATACTGTAACACCCACTGAAGAGGATCCATACATTCATTTTCTAGTGTCTGAGAAGATATATGATGAGTTTTATTCGCCCCTTAAACAAAGCCAAATAAGTAGTGTTATATAATTATCCTTCCAAGAGGACAATGTACTGATTAACTTACACGTGTTCCACGTCAATCATGATTTGCCAACCATAATCTTATCACTCAATACTGGTCAAGGTAAACTAATCGTACAATAAAATAATAGCATGAATAATGCGGGTCGATGACCTCTTACTGATATAAAAATACACGTAGGATAATATTCCGGAAATCTATGCCGGTCATTGACTTTGGCGTAATTGTATCTCATCGTTTTCAGCTTTTATATGGCAACTGCAGAACAAATAATTTAAATAGTTGCCAATAGTTTGGCCATTATCTCACGGGTGGTAAGGATGCGACCCTACGATAAAGAAAGCCCTTAAGCAACTTACCACTCAGACCTTAAATTTCAGAATTAGAGAGAGAGAGAGAGAGAGAAGAATTCCAAAATCCTTAAAGATTTTGATGAAACCTGGAGTCGAATCGCTTCGTGCGTATGGGATGGATTTGCACTGTGAAGCGTTGAATTTGATGATTGTCTGGTATCAAGATAATTCAAAAGGAAAATCCAGTTCAGCGATTCCCCTGCACAGTCTCAGTAGAAGCTGCTGCCTGTTTTTAGACGGATGGTGACAATTTCAGTGTATGCCAAGGTCCGGGTTTAGTTCACGTACGCATGTGTACACTTAAGAGTTATTACCTATTTTACATTCCCTCGCCGCAACATCAATATGTTGATCGATTACGCTTATTTCCATTTTGGTTCTATTTTGTGGGAGAGCCATGCTTCGGCATGAATGGGCTGGCTCGACCGGAGTGATACCACGGTCTCACAAACCGTCGTGAAGCAATTCTTACGTTGTGTTTTGCCGTGTGAGGTTACCGAGGGGCCAATTCCTCCCCGCTCTCCCCATCCTCAATCCTCAAATCCCCTATCCTTAATTTCCCTAATAACTCTCAAGGGTCCGAAAAAGCACTTGTAACTAACTCCTTTCAGCCGGGGTTGCGGGGTAAGCGCAATTAGGCACCGTGACCTCGGCTCAGAGCAGGAGAAGGAACGGGGGGGTTTTTAGTCAGTAAGAGTCTGACACTCCCTCCTGCCCGACCCTGGGCGGGAGAAGTCACATGATGATTTTCCCCTCGCAAAAAAAAACTCACTCCTTTAGTGCTACGAGCGTCCATAGCCGATCTAAATACATAAACAATGAAAAAATAGAACAGAGCAACGGAACTAGGTCTTAGCACTTAGTTGAACCTAAACGAACCAAAGTCACTGACATAGCCCAGCAGATTAGTGCGCTGACGTGCTGGGCAGAGCATAGCTCAGGGAACTGATGGCCTTTAGGGAGGGAGCTAAGTCCCAAACCAAACGCCATGTGGAGCGCAGGACGACCTGAAAATTTCTTCTCGTCATCCAATTAGAAACTTCCTTTTCATAACTACATCAAATTAAAAAATTCTCAATAATTCTACATATTGGTCAAGGGCATAGCTAATCGTTCAATAGCTTGGATAACACAGGTCAATAAACTCTAGCTAATTGACACTACAATTAGTATAATATCAAAGAAATCTATGCCGGTCATTGACCGTACAATATTATTGTGTAATATTGTGTACAAATACATAAATCGCAATGACGAGGTAATCCATGAATGCTGTGCAATATTCCGCCACGTTTTTGTCTATTTTTTTAATTTTATTTTGTTTAGTAATGGGCATGGCATTTGGCCACTATTACGCCTGGTGGTAAGCGGTGATACGGCCTACAATGGAGAAGGCCTACCCATTAGCATACTATTCACTCGGGCCTTGAAAAACACCCAGGTTGAAGCCTTCGAGGAACACAGACTCCTGCAAAGAAATCCACTACTTAGTGGTTCTGATAACAATAAAAAAAAGCATAATATATACGGTCGAATTGAGAACCGTCATCCTTTTTGGAAGTCGGTTAAAAATTGAGACCAACCGCTTTAAGAGTAACAATTTTATTCCTGTATTGTAATTTCATAAGGACTTTTTCTTAACTAGGTATTCCCGCAGTTTCACCCGATATTCTGTACCTATAGGCTGTAGTGTTTTTTAACCTATAGCCTCCATCGACACATGTAATACCCAACACAAAAAACCATTTGTTTGTGTGTAACCAATATTTTTAAAGACAAGCGCGTTTAATATGCAAACGAACTCTTTAGGTTAATAATATTAAAAGTATAGATATTATTATATCCAAAACAGGCAACTGATCCATAGATTTTTGTTTTAAGATTGGCTACAAAGGAGAATGCGTAATCTAACCCAAGTCCGTATAAAGCAAAGATACTGTTAAAAACCTCATATAATGATGGTTTCAAATCGTTTATAGAATATGTTGTTTTTATTCATGTATCATGTTAATCTATCAAATATTTACTTAAAACTGTAACCTCAAAATACTCGCTAATGGTTAATAACGCTCTTATATCCTGAAGTTAAAAAATGTATATAAAATCCAGATCCAGGGTCCAGATAATTTTACTATCATTGCCACTTATTTCATAAATACGCATTCTTGCTCCATGTCTCATCCCAAATCTGGCTTTCTCCTTTCGGCCTTAAGCGAAAATCACAAACATACAATCCAAATAACACATTTCGACAATATTTATGGGAATCCCTAACATGAAAGTATGGCGTGGACTTCCATGACAATAAATATAGATATTTTATTTCATACCTTTTGTCGGGTCTAATCCTGGAGACCACCGTCTCGGGGGTAACCCAAATCATATCCAACGAGATCCTACCGGGAGTTCCTTACTTATCCTAATTCCGGCAAACAAGGAAGTAGAAACTGGTGATTTTATTTATTGTGATATTGTTATGTTACGAATTCGGATTACTGAACAAGACTAGACTAAAATATCAGTATGTTTCTTTTTAATGGAAATCTTTCGTCATATTACCCATTTTGAACGATGTAATGCTTTCTTTATATAAAAACTAGCGAGCCGCCCCAGCTTCGCACGGGTTTTGAACCTTTTTTTTGTGAGGTCATAGTCATCAAATGCCTTCTCCCGCCCCGGATAAGGCGAGAGGGAGTGACCGACTCCGTGATTAAAAACACTCCCAGTCCTTCTCCTACTCCAAGCCGGAGCTACAGTGTCTTATTGCGCTTACCCCGCAATCTCAGCTGAACGGATGCAAAGCTGATACAACATTTTTACACTATTTAATGAATGTTATTAAAACGACATCAAAATCCGTTGTTTAATGAAAAAAATAAGCACACATAAGGAATATACATAGGGCCAGAGAAAGGTTTGTGAAGTGGCGTCACACTAGAATTTACTTCTAGGCCATAGATGTGTTTACTAAGTCACATAAACACCCTACCCAGGGATGGAACGATGGTAGCTCACACAAAGACAATGTTGCATGTAGACAGTTCCATGACCAGCATTGCTGTGTGAATAGTAGTTCTTATAAAGAAAATAATATAGTAGAACAGGATCTATTGAACCACACACATACAGAAAAGAAAATACACATAATATGGAATGATCATAGCAAATGCATCATGTTCCTTCAGGTGGACTAAAGGCACAGATGGGTCTCAATAAGATGGGCCCATATTCAGCCAAGGTTATGGATGCCTCATCCTAGATCAGGAGAAAGAAGGTGGTTTATAGTCAGTAAGAGTCAGACACTCTCCGTCACCTCACCCTGGGCGGGAGAAGTAATTCGATGAGTTTTCTACCAAAACAAAAGCCTTACAGAAAGTATGTAAGCACAATACAAAGTTGTAGCATCCCAATTTGCCAATTCACCATAGTGCTATAATATTATTTACCAATCTCCTTCATTGTGTTACATCTCTATTATAAAACAAAAACTATGAGATGGCCTGACTATAATCGGATACTACACCCCAGCGTCCAATGCGTTGTCCGATCGACAAAGTTTATTATACACTTCAGTAACTAAAAACTATGCCAAATTCAACTATATTCCTACGAGATAAGCAGCTGAAAGTTCGCACGTAATAGCAGAACCGTCTTCTGTTCTATTTGATGAAGGTGCATCGAACATATAAAAGGTATCGTAAAAGTAGAATGACCATCGATTTTTATATTTCAGGATAAAAACTACAATACAAAAATGTAACATGAACTTGTGTGTGTAGTGAAACTTCTTTTTAAGATATTTGCGTATATGAACTGAGAGATCACCTGGCGGTAAGCACTTGGCGCCGCTCATGGATACCTGCATTATTGATGAGTTTTTTTTATGTTATAGGTCGTCAAACGAGCAGACGGATTACCTGATGGTAAGCAATCATCGCCGTCCATGGTCAGCCGCAACGAAGGAGTTACGAGTGCGTTGCCGACCTTTTAGCGATTAAGGTTTTGGAGATTTAGGGATTGGGGGGGATCGGGGGAGGGGAAGGACTGGGCCTCCGGTAACCTCGCTCACACGGCGAAACATAACGCTGTGGTTGTTTCACGCCGGTTTTCTGTGAGGCCGGTCATGCCGTCATCACTCCGGTCGAGCCGACCCATTCGTGTCGAAGCTTGGCTCTCCCACACTTAACGTCCCACACTTAGGTTACAAGTGCTTTGTCTGTCCTTTAGAGCTAGATATTTGAGGGTAGGGGAATTAGGGAAGGGAGGGGTGGTCTTATCTTCCTCAACCGTGTGAGTGGTAACCTCACCCACACAGTGAAAAAGAAACTGCAAGCGTTGTTTCATGCCTTAATCGTAGTTAACTCCGGTCGAACCGGCCCATTTGTTGTAAAGCATGGCTCCAGTCTCTCCCACACTTATCACATAAAAAAACCTTTATTCATTCACATCTAACACTTTACTATTTGCTATGCCATTATCGTCATCGTAAACATCAAGCAACAGAATATCATTTCTGAACAAATGCATTTGCTTAAGTTTATTATTTTTTTCGAATATATTTTATCCTAGATTGGGACAATGAATGGTCACCCCACATAAGACAATTTGAGTTACGTCTTTTAAGGCATTATGTGCACGTATACAGCTGTTGGGGGAACACTGCTGACCTATAAAATATGTCCGGCTTACTCACAGCAGTATGGATACCG